CCTGGTTGGGGCTGCGAAGTGGCTGGAGTCTTTTCCACCAGTTATTCATTGCCAGACACGGTGCTACTTGGGAAGGTCACTATTTCTTATTTATTGTTGTTAAACAATAGTTTATTTTTTCAGTTAAGTTACTTGTCAGATTCATAGGTCAAGGTTAAATAGTGAAGAGGTTATAAGAAAAGCATGCTCCTGGGACTTGAAAATGAAGCAACTGCATCATGTGATTTTTCTTATGAACATTTGCCTCACTAAGTCTGTGTTAGTATTGTATTCATCTGCATGTTATCACTAAACATGATCCAAGGAAAGTATGAGCCACACAAACAGGATTAGGTCCAGCATTATGATCACTTGCAGATAATCATTATCATCAGTTCTCAAGTTTGTTTCAGTGTTTAACAAAAAAAAAAAAAGAAAAACAAGAGCTCAATTCCGGTAACTTGAATTGTTAAAGAGTGCACTGGCTGGGGCAGGCCCTCATTTTAGTCTTGCTCTGACATATACTTAGCGCTTACCACCATCTACAAACGGTTTCAAAGTGGCTGGACAAGCCCAAATGTGCTTGAAACTTTTAATGATGCCTCTAACTACTAGTTTCTCATCTGTCATTAGTAAACAATAGGAAAAAACACAGTGCTGCAAATTCAAATCACTTGGTGTTTTTTTTTTTTCTTTTTAGCTTGCACACACAAAGGATTGAGTTAAAAAAAACATTCTGATAATGTGCTCATTTTTGTAGGAAAGTTTAAAAAATTACTAAGGCTCTGATAAACTCTTGTACTGTTAGGGATTCAAATGTATTGTGTTTTTATCCAGGGAATAAAATCTGAAGCTGGTTTAGCTTCAGATTAGAAACCTGAGATTGCTTCAAACTGTGTTTGTTTTAATAGGAATTTCTGTTTTGTCAAAGTGCAAGCAATGCTATCCTGCAGTTAGTGGGCGTTTGTTTGAAAGACTATATTTTACCCATCAGCCATCTTGTCATCTGTTGTAATTTGCGGTTATGTTGGCAGGCTCCACAGGTATTTTACATGACGTTGGAGACATCATAGCAGAGACGTGCTAGTTTTTTTTTCCCCCCGCCATAATCTGTCACTGTTACTCTTCAATGACTAAAAATGACAAAGTTTACCACCAAACTTCCTATTGCTGAACTTGAGCGTTCGTGTTTTCTAGCAGAACGTAATGCACAGTTTAGGCATTGATCTGCAAATGTAATTATTCAGCATAATACTCTTATGCATGTGATTATTTTTGCTTGTGCTTTCGTTCAGAGTGGAAAGTACAGTGCCAAATTTTTGGTAGCAGTTATTCTGAGGAGACCCCTCCATTTCCTGACAGCATCTTTCTCACTCCTGGGTGCTGTCATAACATGACTAAGCCACAGAAGGAATGTTGACTTCTCTGCTTTAGTCCACCTGTCAAATCCACATAAATCTGCAGGTTCATTAAACAAGTCCAAACTCATTAATAAGACCCAGTAATGGAGAAATAGGTTTTTGTGGTATTTATGTGTCACTAGAATAAGAAATAAAAGGTTTATTGAGGCTGTTCTGTAAAACTATATTGACGTGTAAAACCTTAAATAGAAGACAGCCTCCAAACACCAACACACAAAATTGCAGTACGCAAAGAGTCAACATCACACAAAATTAAAGCATTGCTCCTAAAAGTTTCTGCTGCAATGAACAGCATGGAAGTACAGCTGTGGTCTTCTGTATCTTGGTACAACATGCTTTTACATTAGATTACAGAAATGCCACACCTTTTGCATAAGATTTTGTGAAAAAAATATTCTTAAAATAAATTCGTCAAGTCATCAGGGTATTCCTTACACTGACTTAGTCTTTGTCATAGCTTATCACCTGATTTAAAAAATAAAAAAAATCATTATCATAACATTAAGCTCAACATAGCCAGCAGCATTTTACTTTTTTTAGTGACTGAAAGCTGAAATACTCGAGCTCATACACCTTTCAAGGTTTCCCCCCAGAAAACTTGCCAAGTCTTGCCAAAACTGCTAAAGCAGTCATTCATCCAGCAGCCTGTTGTGTTTTTGAGAAATTGTTATTTCTATACTCTGTAAACTTGTATATGAGCTCCAGATTTATCTGGGAGGTAGAATATGAAGATAGAAATGTGACTCCAAATTAACCAAGAAAATGGCAGCCAGGCAAGAAGGCAATAAGTTGGAATAGCTGTAGGACTTGATTATAACAAATTCAGTCATTGCTTTTGTCTATATTTTTTAAAAACGATCTGATTCCGTTTTTTTTGAGTCCAATGTTTTCAGAATTTTTATAAGTATATTTACACAATTTTCTTGGAATTTGGGACAGTCTACTCTTTAGACTCTCTGTAAAGGTTTTATGAACCTGTGTTTGGGGAGTTTCTCATTTGTTCTGTCAGAGCCTGTCAAACTGTTTCAGGTTGAACAGAAAGCCGTTGTTGTATGGAGTTTAAGTTGAGGCTTTAAATGAGCTACACTTTATCACTGTCTTGGGACACCAGTGTGTCCGACTCGTGTCAGAAAGAGCAGCTGATATTAGTGGAGAATAACTTCAGAAGAAAACAACAAAAATGTCTTTAGGTTGCACCAGAACAAATACTATGAACCATGGGTTACTCCACCCTAAAAGGCTTATATTTCACAATCTGTTTTTTTTTCTTCTTCTTTTTCCTTTTTTCCCTACCAGATTGTAATTGATGTTCATTCCTTCAATAAACTTTCTTTAAGTACTTCAGTGCATTTTTTTCAAAGTGCTCTCAAATTAATTGTCCATTTAGTTATCCAATGTAATTAACTCAGACCTCTAATGAACTGCAGTGTTTTCTAAAATTATTTTTATTGTAAGTTCAGTAAGTTGTTGTGCAAACAAATAATTCAGTGGACATCTTGGTCACGTAAATTCACATAAACAGCTGCTAATAAACAAATATGGCTTTTTATTTGTGTTATGGGAATCTTAAGATTTATTTAATGTTGTGCGACATGCCTGTTTTTTTTTTGTTTGTTTGTTTGTTTTTTGGGGGGGGGGGTTCCGATTGGTTTTATATCTGATTATATTCCGGGAATAGAGTTTTCTAAGGCAAGGGAGACCTTATGTTTTAGAAATTGGGTCACCTGGGTGGTTGGTGGAGCAGGATTTGCCTCTTACTTCTGGAGTCCATATGTCTGTTGTCCTTGTCTGGGTTAGAACTGTATAATGTTTCTCTTTATGCACTACCTCCAATAACAGCAAAAAATGCATGCAGCTAAATGTTTGTGCAGTGTTTACTCTTCTGAAGCTGTCGTTCTCAATATTTTAATTGACTATTGAGCAGATGCCTTCAATACATCTTGATCTATTAGGAAAGCGCTTTGGTGCAGGAGTACTCTTTAAGTGCTATATACATAAAATTTGATTGATTGATCTTTAAGGGATTGTTCAGGATCTTTGAAGTATGATTCTATTGAGATTAGAAGCAGCTACCATATTTCCTGGACTATAGAGCGCACCTCACTATAAGCCGTACCCACACAGTTTTTGTTTTAAAAAAACTGGAAACATACATATATGTCGCCCCAGGCTATAAGCCTCTGGTACCTCCGCCGCTCTCGGTTTTTCACAAGGACGCAGCAGAGGGCTGCGTCTTTAATAAATTTGCTATTAATGACACAGCCCTGCGAACCATGGATTCATTCATGTGGATCTTATGTGCAGTGGCTAACAATTTGTACTGCTAGATTGATAGCCTTAAACTTAAAAGCGGTATTATATATAAACTTCTCCGTTTGGTTTCCATGATGAGGGGGGATGAGTTTGAAAACATTTCTCTGTCATCCCTGCTGCTAGCATATTCTTGTTCTAAATGAAAAACAGCGCTTTTTTTCTTTAATTTCCAACTTTGACTTCCAATTGTTCACTTCCTGCTAAAGAGCCCCCTGGCGGTTGAAGAAAAATCCACAGAAAAGCCGCACCGGACTCTAAGCCGCACAAGTGTGGGGGGAAAAAAGTAGCATCATATAGTCAGAAAAATACGGTAATACATTTCCTGCAGTAGAAAACTCCCGCCGTCATAATTCAGCATAAATTCCAGATTAGTTGGTCCCAGAGGAAAGCTAACAGCTAGTCCAGTTGGAGCCAAGACCAAAGCAGACTCTTACTGCCTTAAAAACCTTCTAATCTCAAAAAGGTCACAGTGGTTTATGCTGACACTATTTTATAAACCTTTAAACCACTGTCACGTTTGCATTGGGTGGTTATCTACACAGAGGCTGATGATTAATTGCACTGGAAAAAGAGGTGGGAGTTTCTGTGCCACCAGTGACGATCCTTTGTGAAACGTGTACAAAAGAATACTGCATTGTGGGCCGTGTAGCTCCATGATATGAAATTCAAGCTGTGTGGAAAAATAGTGTAACATTTCCTTAGAACACTGTAATAATTTTGATTTCCCATCTCTGGAAATCGTTTCCCAATGTAAACCCCAATGTTAAGGCAGTTTTAAGTTTTAGAAAATATACATTTTTATAAATTTTGCTATGACTACCCTGACTATGACTACCATAAGATTTTTGAGACTGAAGCCAAGTTGGTCTCAAGGACCAACTAATCTGGATTTATACAAAATAAAGACACCAAGAAAGTTATCTACTGCAGGTAAAATGTTGACTGCCTGTAATCTTTTAGCAGAACTTCAAAAAGCCTGAATTATTCCTTTAAGATTAGAAAACCCTCCCTGGATAATAGTGCCTGTAAAACGGGAGTACACAAGTCGGGGCATTAAATTCTTATGACTTAAACTGCTGGTGTTCACTCTGCTCTGTCGACTACAGAAAAAAAAAGGATTTTCTGTCAATATTTATTTACTAAAGCCCATGTAAATACAACTGTTCAGAGGAGTGCATTTGGAGCATATAGACTAGTGAAACACTCCACACTGAGGTTTTCAGGCAGAGTACACGTCAAAGCTAAGGCAATGTGCGCTCACTCTTGTTTATCTGTTATTTTTTACAGATGAGCGTGAAGCCGTGCAGAAGAAAACATTCACCAAATGGGTAAACTCTCACTTGGGTCGAGTGACTTGTCGCATTGGTGACTTGTACACAGACCTGCGGGATGGCCGCATGTTAATCCGCCTTCTGGAAGTCCTCTCAGGAGAACAACTGGTCAGTACATGTAATTAACCACTTTTCTTTAGACATGTTTGTTTTATTATATGGACTTACTTTTGCTCCAGTTTCTGCTTGTGTTCCCCCTTTAAATTCCTGTCAGCTGCTCCTTTCTATTACATTTGTTCGTTTTTTTTTTTTTTTTTCATTCATCAACATTCAAATGGGTGCATTTTGTTTTTTGTTTTTATCCCCCCCTCATAGCCAAAACCCACTAAGGGCCGCATGCGTATCCACTGCCTCGAGAATGTTGACAAAGCTCTGCAGTTTCTCAAGGAGCAAAAGGTCCATCTAGAAAACATGGGATCCCATGACATAGTGGATGGAAATCACCGTCTCACCTTAGGCCTCATATGGACTATAATCCTCCGCTTTCAGGTAATATGAAGTGATTGTTTATGTCGTAATGTTGTCCTTATGCAAACTTGCACTTCCTCTTTGAAGCTCGTAAAACTTGACTATCAGATGGCGCTTTACTGCGGTTTTCTAATAATTATGTTTTAGTTATGAGCTCCCTATTACGACTTTTTGTTTTCTCACTCTTCAAAGGGTGTTATTGCATACCAATGTAATTACTATAAATTATGCTGCTAAATCTAGAAATGTAATTTATAAACACCTTACTATGTTGATTAAATGACAGATCCAAGACATCAGTGTGGAAACGGAAGACAACAAAGAGAAAAAGTCAGCCAAAGATGCCCTTCTGCTTTGGTGCCAAATGAAAACAGCAGGGTGAGAAGCATATGTCTGTTTATATACACACACACCTCAGTAAATTAGATTATAATCCAAAGACGAAATTATTTCAGTAATTCATCTAATAAAGTAAAACACTGTTTATAATTTCTGTATAGACAGTTAAATGATTTCTATATAGACAAAGCCGATATGGTTTTTGGCTTATCTATGCGTTACTTTCACATGAGTGTTATGCAAGACTAACAATGAGATCATGAACACAAAAATTTTATGTAATGATCGTGTTATGACCCACAATCATGTGCAAGTCTGCTGACTCGACAGTTATCCAGAAGCCACTGACATCTTCCTCAAATAGGGAAGGTGCAAAAAGATCATAGCCAAGGAAGTAAGCGGTTCCAATGATCCAAATGGAAAGTAAAGTGGAGGGAAAAAGGGTACAAATAAAAGTTGGAGGAATAACTGCAGCTTCGAGAGGATTGTGAAACAAAACCCATTCTGCAGTTTGTGGAAGATTGACGATGCTTGAGCTGTGGCTGAAATCAGAGCCTAGAGTCATCACACACTGATTTATACTTGGTTATGACCGCCACATGCTTTGTGTTAAACAAATCCAGAGAAAAGGCATTCGAACTGGACTTTTGTTCAGTGGTCCTACTCAGTGTTTAAGATGTTTTAAGTTCCACTGTGAACTTAATGTTGATGATAATTTGGGAGGCCATGATCCAGTGCGGTCTGCTTGGGTTTTTTTTATCATTAATTTGCATTGAAAGTAGACTATAATTGTAAAAATTAAAAGAACTGAACACTTGAAATAAATCGTCAATAAAATGGTGAGTCATCAGGAAGGCCAGTTCTGTCCAAGGTGATGTTGACAGAAAAATTCTGGCAAAAACTCATCACTTTGGATAATGTCTCTCACCTCATCCATTGAGCCGTTGCACAACTGGCAAGCTCCTTTGGCAACATACAACTGCATCCGAGCTGCACTAAAAGCATCGTCATAGCTCCTTCCTCCCAGTAACCATCACTGCTCCCAGCAATACCAATATGTTGTTCCCAACCCTACTATTGGATTATTTTATGTTTGCACTACTAGTGAGTACAGTTTGTACATTTTAAATGATCTTACTAAGTTACACATTTCTTAGAGCCTAGGTATGCTTAATGTACTCTCATTATATTGTTTTACAGTCTTTTAATTTCTTTTTTATTACCCTCTATATGCACCAGTATATCTCAATTTGCCTGTCACTTTTCTGGTAATAAATCTTAATTTCCCCAGTAAGGAATTAAAATTTAATTTTTCTATTCTATTGTTTGTGACTCTACATAAGTTTCACTCTTTGAATTTAATTACTGGAATAAATTTACGTTTTGTTTCTATTCTAAGTAATTAAAATTGACTTGTGTGCTGAATATTTTTACTGTTAGCATTTTTTTTTTACATGAGATATCAGTATGGTATTCTGTCGTGCTGAGCTAATGATTAATGCTTTTTATTCTGACCTCTACAGATATCCTAATGTCAACATCCACAACTTCACTACCAGCTGGAGAGATGGTCTGGCGTTCAATGCCATCGTGCACAAACACAGGTCAGTGACTCACTGACCTGTGGTCCCTGTTTGGCTTGTTTTGCTGAAGAATCTGATCAGTCTTTTCTTTTTTTTTTTTTTTTTTGCTGGGTGTTATTTCAGATTATCCTCCTGCAAACACAAAAGACATCCAATATTCTTGTACTTTGGTGTTCAGAGAAGTAAAGCAGTCAAAGGAGTTTCTTACCACATTTTCTATTTCAGTATTTTTCCTCTCTGCAGTAGGACTTGAAAGATGAAATAAAATAGGGAGTAAGATGACCTAGATTACAGTCATAACCCACCCATTTTTTAAAATATAAAACCATCATTGTGCACCCTGCTGGTTAAAGGATTTCTAGAGTTTAAAGATAAAAAGACCAAAGATTAATCCTTAACTTGTGACTTAGAAAGAACAGAGATTATTGATGAATTAATCAATGCATACAATGAAGGCGTTTCTTATTTACTTAGGTGTTCAATTATTTCACTGTATTTACTGTGTGACTCAGTCATGACACAGCTGTCAATGTGCAGTTTTTAGCTTTCACAATGTACTCTGTGTAATTCATGTTCATTGAAGTTTAAGAATATTTTCATTACATAATTTTTTAACTGCATTTAGTTGAGGTTCATTTGTAATAAACTTACATCTGACACATTTATGCTGCTCTAAAATCCAAATACTCCTTTAATGAACACTTTATTATTGTTGAAAAGAATATCAGATGTTTTTAGGTCCATACATGAAAAACATTTTTACATACATCTTTTGCAAAACAGACTTTTTATACATGATGACCCGAATGTTTAGTCATTTCTTCTTAGCTGTATCCGACTCCTATTAAAATGTCTGTTTCCCATTGTCTGCAGGCCTGACTTGATTGAGTTTGACAACCTGAAAAGGTCCAATGCTCACTACAATCTCCAGAACGCTTTTAATGTGGCTGAGAAGGAAATGGGCCTCACTAAACTATTGGACCCAGAGGGTAGGTGGCTGTTGGCTTCACTGAGGCATTCAGCTTTTCTCTAAAATAACTTCATTTAAGTTGCAAGTTTAATAAAGTTAATTAGTCTTGGACAGCACTAATTATTGTCAACTTTAATTCCTTCACAAAAGGCTGTTTAAAGAATCAAAAGGACTTTAAATAACAGAATGGATATAGCTGAACACTTCTTGTTTTTTGATCAAGTGATATTTGGAGCTACAGTGCTTTAACTTTGTTGTGTTTCCTCTCTTCCAGATGTCAATGTTGATCAGCCAGATGAGAAGTCAATCATCACTTATGTGGCGACCTATTACCATTACTTCTCTAAGATGAAAGCTCTGGCAGTGGAGGGAAAACGAATTGGAAAGGTTAGCTCTGTGTGCATGTGTCTGATTTGAGACTTTTGGCTAAGTGACTTTATAATTTAAAAGCAAGAACTTTTTAAGTGTAAATAGTTTGGTTAAATGGCTATGGAATGTTTTGGGGTTTGAGTTAATTTTAGATAGAAGAAATCCTCTTTGATTACCAAGAACTGAAGGAGTGTGCAGATAATTATCTACTCAAGAAGAGATGCTGACAGCACAAAGATGTCCCACAGATTTCCACTTCAAAAAATCTGAGACGTGCTTGGATATATTGGGCAGAGCATGATGGATGTGTAAATATTTCCGTCCCATTTATATGGAATCACTAATTGTTTTGGCTGCAGGTACTTGATTACGCCATTGAGGCTGACCAACTGATAGAGAAGTACGAGACCCTGGCATCAGAGCTGCTGCAATGGATTGAACAGACCATACTGACGCTTAATGATCGGCAGCTGGCTAACTCTCTGAGTGCTGTTCAGAACCAGCTTCAGGCCTTCAACTCTTACCGGACTGTGGAGAAACCCCCTAAGTGAGTACTAGTTCTCCTGACGGAAGCTCGTAAATGTTTATTTATTTATTTAAAATCCAAAATATGTTTTGTCTCCACAGATTTACAGAAAAGGGAAACCTGGAGGTCCTTCTCTTTACCATCCAAAGCAAAATGAGAGCAAATAATCAGAAAGTTTACATGCCAAAAGAAGGCAAACTCATCTCTGATATAAATAAGGTAGGGCTTGTTTTAAATACAGGACCAGATATATTCAACAGCAACCCTGAAATGAGTTGTGTAATCTCTGATTGAAAAATGGAGAAATCTCTTAACAAAATCATTTTACAGCAGGATAACATGTGAAAGCATTGCACATTGACAACCTCAGATGCGGGTGATGAAAAACACCCCTATTGTTTTCTATCAAGCAGCCCACACCGGCTGCACCAGCCAATGCTGCTAGGCTCAGCAATCGGTGATGTTTTATTTTAAATGAATAGCTAGAGATACTTCAAATGTATCCATGCTGCAATAAACATGCATTTATTATAGGTTTTTAAGGTATCTTTATCAGAGCCAATAAATGTGGCTGGCACTACACATTTCGGTACCTGAAAAGAGTACAAAAATTTTGCAAATAATAAATTGGGAGTATTTTCCTCTTATTCTTAAAATTTTTTATTCTTTGTGAAACTTTTGTGTCATGTTTGCTGCATGATTCAGGCATCTTGTGCATCCATCTGTTTGCCAGGCTTGGGAACGACTGGAAAAGGCTGAACATGAGCGTGAGCTTGCACTAAGAAACGAGTTGATTCGCCAAGAAAAACTGGAGATGCTGGCGGCTCGCTTTGACAGAAAAGCAGCAATGAGGGAGACGTGGCTGAGTGAGAACCAGAGATTAGTGTCTCAGGTAGAAAAACGTACCTTTTCCTCTTAAACCTGATGAAAAACTTGTATTATTTGTTTAAAACTATTATAAGATTAGTTGGATTCTTATACAGTCTTCTTTTTTTTTTTTTTTTTTGTTGCAAGGATAATTTTGGGACTGATTTGGGAGCAGTAGAAGCTGCCACCCGTAAACACGAAGCAATTGAGACAGACATTGGTGCATACTGGGAGCGGGTTGCTGCTGTGGAGGCTGTTGCCAAAGAACTGGAAGCAGAGAAATATCACGATGTTCGTCGCATACTGGCACGACGGGATAACGTCCTTCGACTTTGGGAATACCTCAAGGAACTTCTGGCGTCCCGCAGGGAGCGTCTGAACTCCCATAAAGACCTACAAAGATTGTTTCAAGAGATGCGTTACATTATGGACTGGATGGCCGACGAAAAGGTAAAACGGGCATCTTGAATGGCTTTGTTTAAATAAGTGCTGAAAGTCTGTGCTTATTCCTTTTGTTGCTTTGGTGTCCAATTAACTAAAAGGGCTCAGCTAATCCTCTGAAGTAAGATAGATGTTGTTCATAGTTTTTCCCAGCAGCTTTAGGGTTGCTCCTAATTGCAGTAATTAGCTGTTGCCATGCCTGCTAACGGCTGACTGGTGTTGCCTGTCATTGTTGGCTTAACTGAGGTTAACTGAGGCGGACTACACTCATGCGGAGCACTAAAGAAATTACATTTTGACAAGCTGTCTTGGCAAGCTGTGAACTTAATTCATCTGTGTTCTGCCAGTCTTGAAATGCTGGTATTTCCTCATGTTTGTTCATTTCTAGTCTTTTATTAGCTTGACTTCATCAGTTTCAGTTAAATTAGAGATCTTTCATTATAGAGATTATATGGTTTTTTCTTTTTTGCAGAGCACTACATTTGCCTCCTCTCCATGTTCACCAGAATTACAATTGTTTGATTTTGACATTTAAATCTTTCTTAGTATATCCATATCTTTGCTAATTCATGCCTTCACAAATCCATATCCCCCATTTCACACACGGGTGTTTATTTTCATACCTGTATTTTGTACCAGTGGTGTTTTATGATGTCAAAGATTTCAAGAAATTTATTAATTTTATTTATTTATTTATTTTTATAAAATTGCTCAATTTTCCACTTTCATTAATTTGTAAATGATTTTACTAAAAAAACCTTAATCTGCATAATTTGGTTGTTCAATACCATGTCGGTTCTATTCAGTTTCAGGCTTAATAAAAGCTTAAGCAAGTTTCTGAGGGACAATAATTACTGCACTCACCCACCTGATGATTCATGTTTAAATTGCAACTACAAAAGTATGGCAAGGTGGGAAAAAAAAGGCCTGTGCACTTTTTAAAAATGTATTATATTAAAACAATTTTTCTTTCCTCTTTTTCATTGACCTTTTGATCAACAACACATGCACGCACATTTTAATGCATAACGTGACTCAAACACTAATTTCCTCCATTTCCTGCTGGCAGAGTGTTGTCTTGTACTACCTTTGAAAATACAATTACTTGGCAAGATAATATTCCAAGTATGAAATAATCTTGTATTTGAGCTTATATAATTTCACGCAATTGTGATTTTATTTAAGTAACTTAAAAATATATCAAAAATCTATCACAATCTGTGAAATTTTATTGTGTTGAATTGAATTTTATGTTCTACTGGTTTTCCTGTAAAAGTGAAAAATAATTAAATCCATTAGAAAATCATTGTGCAAAAGTAATAGATTTAATTTCTGTGCTGTCTCTGATTCCACTGATTAGTTGATGGACAAGAGATAAGTCTAAGTGTCTCCCTATTCATTTGCATGAACCCACCTACAATAAAAAAATATATAAAAGAGATGATTATCAAACAATTGGATATTCTTAGAATATCAGAAATACTTATTGGGAAAAGTATAAAACTTAAAAACTCAGGTCGCTTCTGACCCATATTGTGCATGAAACGGTTAAATGAGTTTTGCTGCTTTTCTGGTCATTTTTTGCAGAATGAGAACTTGGTATTTCTTTAGTTTTTGATTACCTTTTTTTTTTTTTTTTTTTTTTACAGGGTCGCTTGCAGTCCCAGGATAGTGGCAAACATTTGCATGACGTGTTAGATCTTCTGCAAAAACACAATTTGGTGGAGGCTGACATTTCAGCTCAAGCAGAGAGGATAAAAGCGGTGCAAGGGGCCGCCAAACGTTTCACCTCCTATGACCAGGGTAGGCCTTCTGAAACGGTCTTCATCATTTTCTGTACGGATGCTTCTCTTTTCATCTATATCTAAATGCATTTTTCTCATTTCTTTCCTTCTTGACAGCTTACAAACCCTGTGAACCTGGACTTGTTAGTGAGAAGGTCGATTTGCTGGGTCAAGCTTATGAGGAGCTTGGCCAGCTTGCGGCGACGCGTCGAGAGCGTTTGGAGGATTCACGTCGACTCTGGCAGTTCATGTGGGATCTTGGTGAGGAGGCGGCCTGGATCAGGGAGCAGGAGCAGATTCTGGCCAGTGGGGACAGTGGCCGGGACCTCTCTTCTGCCCTTCACCTACTGAGTAAGCATGAGGCCTTCAGGGACGAGATGGCCGCCCGCTATGGCCCCCTTAGCAACAGCATCGCTGCCGGAGAAGCTTTGGTGGAAGAGGGACATTTTGGAGCCCCGGAAATCACGGAGAGGATCCAAGATATCCGTGGACAGTGGGCTCATCTGGAGGAGGTCGGTTGTGGTTTTCAGCTTTTTTGTCACATCTAAACAGTCTTCTACTCTGTATACATTTATGTTTTTGTACTCTGACTTTATTAGACAACAAAGCTCAGAGAGCAGAGTCTGAAGGAGTCTGTGGCTCTGCACCAGTTTCAAAATGATGCCAACGACATGGAGGCCTGGATTATGGAGACGCTTAGACAAGTGTCCAGTCAAGAGGTTGGCCACGACGAGTTCTCCACCCAAACTTTAGCTCGCAAGCAGAGAGAAATTGAAGAGGAGATCCAAAGCCACCGCCCCCTCATTGACTCGCTCCATGAGCAGGCCCAAGCACTGCCAGAGGCATATCTTCATTTCCCTGAAGTAAGTTTGCTTTAGTTTTCATTATCCTTTCCAGATCACATGCTCTGTCTGGTGAATGATGGCTAATTGCTGTCTCTAGGTGGAGGGACGTCTTCCTGCTATTGAGCAGCGCTATGAAGAGCTGGAGTCTCTGTCAGCAGCTCGGCGACAGGCTCTGGAAGGCGCACTGGCACTTTATCGCATGTTCAGCGAAGCCGACGCCTGCCAGCTGTGGGTGGAAGAGAAGGAGCAGTGGCTGGACAGCATGGAGATCCCCACCAAGCTGGAAGACCTGGAGGTTGTGCAGCAGAGGTCAGTTTGGGAGCGATGGAAGCAGAAATGATTATGTAACAAGATTGTTGCTGAATACAATGCTTTTTTTTCTTTAAAAATTAATACAATTAAATTTTTTCTGAACACAAAATTTTAAAATATCTTGAAAATCTAATTTTATTTACTTTTTAGTTATACACATTATACAACATTAGTGATTTAGGATTAGCTAAATTTGGTATGATCACTACCCATCCTAAGTGGATCATCCAATTGTTTCTCTTGTGATGCTTCTGCTTACTTTATTCAAATTCAGTACTTCACATTGCTAAAGAGCCATTGTAGCAAAACTTGATCCCAGTTTGCCTCTTGTTTGTAGCTTGAATCTCAAAACAAATGTAAAATAAATCATCTTAATTTAAAAAATCAATGCTGTTTACATAATGTTTATTTTTAGCATTGATATTATATCTCTCTCCAGGTTTTTACCAACCAGTACAGTTTGCACAAATTAATATTCAGAGTAAACATAAACCTGCAATGAGTATGTACTATAACGATGCAAATCTTTCATAGCAATTGAAATGAAACAACTATATTCTGCTGCAGGTTTGACACCCTTGAGCCTGAGATGAACAACCTGAGTACTCGGGTCACTGATGTGAAGCAAGTGGCTGAGCAGCTGCTGAGCTCAGACAACTGCAGCAAAGACCAAATCCACCAGACAAGAGACCAGCTAAACAACAGGTAAGTGCTAATATTGAACATGCCTTTATTTTCACCACTATAATCACCATTCTCTTTGTACTTAATGTGCAATGTGTTGGATTTTGTCTCTAGATGGAAAGAGTTCGAGAAGCTGGCTGGCCAAAAGAAACAAGCCCTGGAATCTGCTCTGAACATCCAGAACTACCACCTGGAGTGTAATGAGAGCCAGACGTGGATGAAGGAAAAAACCAAAGTGATTGAATCCACGCAGAGCTTGGGCAACGACCTGGCTGGAGTGATGGCACTTCAACGCAAGTTAACTGGCATGGAGAGGGATCTCGAGGCCATTCAGGTATGGAAGCGATGCATGCTGGGCAGAAATAGAAATATAAAAACACCTGGACAAAATAATTGTTTTTTTTTTGTTCTTCTGTTATTCCTTAATCTAAATTAGCGTTCATATTTTTTTAGGGTAAGTTGGATGATTTGACAAAGGAGGCAGAAAAACTCGCCAGTGAACATCCAGATCAAGCTGGAGAAATCCAAGGTCGCCTGGCTGAGATTCAGGAGGTGTGGGAGGAGTTGAATGCCACCATGAAGCGACGGGAGGAGTCACTGGGAGAAGCCAGCAAACTTCAGGGCTTCCTCAGGGACCTGGATGATTTCCAGTCCTGGCTGTCCCGCACACAGACCGCAGTGGCCTCAGAAGACATCCCCACTTCCCTGCCTGAGGCCGAGAGTTTACTCGCCCAGCATGAGAGCATCAAGAACGAAGTTGACAACTACAAGGAGGATTATGAGAAGATGCGAGCGGTTGGCGAGGAAGTGACCCAAGGTCAGACGGACGCCCAGCACATGTTCTTGGCCCAGAGGCTTCAGGCGCTGGACACTGGGTGGCATGAGCTGCGACGCATGTGGGAGAACCGCCACAGTCTTCTGGCCCAGGCCTTTGATTTCCAGACTTTCCTTAGAGATGCCAAGCAAGCTGAAGCTTTTCTCAACAGCCAGGTTAGAACAACACAAAATATGGATGAAACTTTATTGAATTAACCACATTAGCTTTCTTTGCAACAACCTGCTGTTCCTTAATCAGTTTCAGTACGCCTGTTACAAAGGACTAGCATAACAGAACTAAAATATTTAGTCTTGCTGCTTCTTTGGCAACAAAAGAAATGAAACACAAACTGTAAGCAGAACTCTTTGATTTCCTTTGACAAATAGCTTTTGCAGTGAGATCGAATTGCAGGATTCCAAAAATATCCTTTACTCTGAGATTTAGGGTCTTTGTTATTTAAGGTATTGGTTAAAAACAACCCATTTGCCCTTTTTGTTTTATTATATAGTTTTTAGAAAAATGTTGCCTTTCTGGGAAACTGAAATGCAAGTGCTGCTTTTGTGTCTGTGCAGGAGTATGTGTTGTCCCACACAGAGATGCCCACCAATCTTCAGGCTGCAGAGGAGGCCATTAAGAAGCACGAGGATTTCCTCACCACCACAGAGGCCAGCGAGGAGAAGATAACGGGTGTGGTGGAGGCTGGTCTGCGCCTTATTAATGACTCCAATGCAAATGCAGATAAAATTCAAGAAAAAGTTGATTCAATCCAGGAAAGGTCAGAGCTGGAGCAAAAGATAAGGGAAAAATTCTGAATTTTTTTCTGATGTGTTTAGGCTTGAAAAGTTCTGTGTTATTCTTGTTTTTTTCAGACATTGTAAAAATAAGGAGGCTGCAAATGAACTGCTTTCAAAACTTAAGGATAACTGTGAACTTCAGCGCTTCCTGCAAGATGGGCAGGAGGTAACGAAGTTAAGCACTTAAACAAATTAATGTGTAAAGTCATTTAAAGAAGGAATTTGACTAAGTGGCCTTGTGTTGTGATATGTAGTGTCTCTTTAATGTTTTTCCATATCGCTACTCTTCTCCAGCTAACTTTGTGGATCAATGAGAAGATGCTAACAGCACAGGACATGACTTATGATGAAGCTCGAAATCTTCACAGCAAATGGCAGAAACACCAGGCCTTCATGGCAGAGCTGGCCTCCAATAAAGACTGGCTGGATAAGATTGACAAGGTATGTAAACACAGAAAACATACCCTTAAATTTTTCCCCCTTTTTTCAACTTTGTAACAGTTTAAGTAAATTGTTTTTCTAAAAGGAGGGTCAAGTGCTGGTGGCGGAGAAGCCTGAGCTGAAGCCGGTGGTTCAGCAGACGTTGGAGGACCTGCAGCGTCAGTGGGAGGAGCTGGAGAACACGACCCGGACCAAAGACCAGTGCTTGTTTGAAGCCCACAGAGCGGAGATATTTACTCAGAGCTGCTCCGCTCTGGATGACTGGCTGAAAAACATTGAGACACAGCTGCACAGTGACGACTATGGAAAAGATTTGACCAGCGTCAACATCCTCCTTAAAAAGCACCAGGTAGAAATCAAAATAAGCTGCAAAGAATGTTTTTATTTTTTTATTTTAAAAAAAGCAGAAATAAGTTGGGCCAAAAATATTTTATCTGATGCAAATGAAGATGTTTTATCTTTTTTTAAATGTTTTTTTCCTGTGTAGATGCTGGAGCATCAGATGGAGGTCCGAGAGAAAGAGGTGCAGTCCCTACAAAGTCAGGCTGTTGCTCTGTCCCAGGAGGATGCAGGGTTGGCTGAGGTAGACGGGCAGCAGAAGAGAGTCATTGACAGTTTTTCTAGCCTCAAAGACCCTCTTGACCTGAGGAGACAGCAGCTGCTGGCCTCTAAAGAAGCACATCAGTTCAACAGAGACTTGGAAGATGAAATTGTGAGCACTAGCAACTCCGTGTAGTCAATAGATGAGTTTTGAGTTTTATGTTTATCCTGCTGAGGTTTTATTTCTATTTAATTTGCAGCTTTGGGTAAAAGAACGAATGCCTCTGGCAACTTCCACGGATCATGGAAAAGACTTGCCAACTGTGCAGCTGTTAATCAAAAAGAACCAGGTACAGTTTTATTTTCTGCTTTAGTATTTAGCAAGAAATGTAATAATTACATTGTGACTCACTTGGCTAAAAAATATATGTACCAGGATATAAAAAAGAATATTGAGTGTTTGCATTTTTACACAGTGTTCCAAATCATTATGCAAATTGGATTCAAGTGTCATAAAGATCACATTTTTTGTTGTGCTATTAAACTTATAGATGGTATTGTGTGTCAGGGCTCTTTGAATCACTATAATTAATTTCAGAAAGCTGGTTGATTAGTTTGTCTGGTGAGCTCAATTAAAGAAAATCTACTTAAGAAGGATGTTCCACATTATTAAGCAGGCCACAGGTTTCAAGCAGTATGGGAAAGAGAGGATCTCTGCTGACGAAAATCATAAGATAGTGTAGAACCGTATGACAACATTAGATGTATAACAAAAACTGAAGCTTTATCATTGTACTGTGAAGAGATTTGTGGCTGATTCAGAACAAAGATGGGTTTGTACAGATAAAGGCATAATGAGGAAGGTTTCTGTTTGACAAATTCATTGAATTAAGAGGGCAGCTGTTAAAATGCCTTTACAAAGCAGCAAACAGTTATTTGAAGCTGTTGGTGCCTCTGGAACCTCAAGGTGGAGGATCCTCCAGAGGCTTGTGGTGCATGAACCGACTATTTGGCTCCTGACCAGAACTCACAAGCAGAAACTGTCGCAGTGGGCCCAGCCGTACATGAAGATTAATTTTCAAGCAGACTTGTTTATTGATGACTGCTGTGCAACCCTTGATGGTCCTTATGGACACAGTAGTGGATTGGTGGTGGCCCCAATGTTGCCTGTTCACTCTGGAAAAGAATGGAAATAGAAACTATGCAGGAAGCTCAGTTATTCATGAAACCCCAAAAACCGCCATCCTTCTAGTAGAAATAATGTCAAAACTGGTTGTGAAATAGACGTTGCAGAAAGAGATCCAGGGCCACCAGCCTCGCATTGATGACATCCACCGTCGAGGCGAGGCTCAGAGCCAGGTGGACGGCGACAGGCAGTCGCTGCTGAAGGAACGCCTCGTTGAGCTCAGGGATCTCTGGGACCAGCTGATCGCAGAGACGGACAAGCGTCATGACCGTCTGATAGAGGCCAATCGCGCACAGCAGTTCTATGCTGATGCAGCAGAAGCAGAAGCCTGGATGGGGGAGCAGGAGCTGCACATGATGTCAGAGGAAAAAGCAAAGGTAAACCTGAGACAAAGATGAACAGATTGTTGTTAATCCTGTGTTTAGGAAATATAATCTTTCATGTTTGTTACCCAGGATGAGCAAAGTGCTCTGGCAATGGTCAAGAAACACCAGGTCCTAGAACAGGCCCTGGAGGACTACGCCCAGACCATCCACCAGCTGGCCAACAGCAGTCGTCTCATGGTCACCAGCGAGCACCCAGAGAGGTCCGGAAGCGCATCTTAGTCTTCAACTTGAAGATGTAGTTGTCATTTAATAACAAATACATCTGATTCCTGATCTCAATTGAACAGTGAAAGAATCACCTTGCGACAAGCCCAGGTAGACAAGCTGTACGCCGGCCTCAAAGACCTGGCGGAGGAGCGCCGTGGGCGTCTTCAGGAACGGCTTCGGCTGACCCAGCTGAAGCGAGAGGTAGATGACTTGGAGCAATGGATCGCTGAGAGGGAAGTGGTTGCCGGCTCCCACGAACTGGGACAAGACTATGAACATGTCACAGTGAGTCTTTTTTTTTTTTTCTCCAATTGAAGATATGAAAGCTCTGGGAAATTCAGCTGAATTAATTATGTTGCCCTGATTTCTGTTTTTTCTTTCTCTTCACAGATGCTGAGGGACAAGTTTCGTGAGTTTGCTCGTGACACCAGCACCATCGGCCAGGAGCGTGTAGACGGCGTGAACGCGTTAGCAGATGACCTCATCGAGTCCGGTCACCCTGAGAACGCCAGCGTGGCAGAATGGAAGGATGGTCTAAATGAGGCCTGGGCTGACCTGCTAGAGCTTATCGACACACGCACGCAAATGTTAGCCGCCTCCTATGAGCTGCACCGGTTCCATCAAGATGCCATGGAGGTGCTCGGACGCATCAAGGAGAAGAAGGAGGCGGTGCCTTCAGACCTTGGCCGGGATCTAAACACGGTCCAGCATCTCCACAGACAGCACAACACTTTTGAAAATGACATCCAGGCCCTCAGCGGACAAGTGAGTGAAAAGATATCTTGTTAGAGTTTGAAAGCGGCTTCAGATCAGAACACAGAACGCCTTCTCTTCCTCTTAACTTCAAGGTGAACCAGGTGCAGGATGATGCAGCACGTCTGCAGAAGGCTTATGCTGGTGAAAAAGCAGATGACATTCAAAAGAGTGAAACGGCCGTGACGATGGCCTGGCAGGGGCTGCTGGAGGCCGGCAAAGCCCGCAGGCTCCTCCTGCTGGACACAGTGGAGAAGTTCCGCTTCTTCAACATGGTGCGAGACCTCATGCTCTGGATGGACGGCATCAACGTGCAGATCGACGCACATGAAAGTCCGAGGTAAAAGAAGTATCAAAAACTGGAATGGCTTGTATAAAAACCAGAAGTGGATAGAGTAGCCAAAAATTATTCTCAGGTAAAAGTAGCACCACCTTAAAATATTTTTACTCTAGTGAAAGTAAAAATTTCTCAAGCAAGAGTACACAAGTATTTGGTAAAAAGCCTAACCAGGTACTGAGTTACTGATCGAAACAATCATTTAATACTTACAAATTATATAATCAAAAAGACCAAAATACAAAGCGATAAATGAATACATTTATTTGTAAAGCCAGTTACAATAACCACCAAGTGAACCAAAGTGCTTTACATTGAACAAAATAAGATAAGACATATTAAACACAAGGAGTGAAACTGATAAAACACAACAGACAGTAGAATAAAGTAAAAAGACAATTAAAATATCACACTATTGAGGAGTAAGTCATATTGAAGATGTATGTATTGAGTCTTCACTTATAAAGACTCATTTAAAAAGACTCAGGTCGGAGGTCAGTCATATTTCATTCGGACCTTATGTAGAAATTTGGGCATTTTAAAGACCAAAAGAAAAATAATTCATTTAAATAACATGATTGCAAAATAACAAAATTTGGTGAAATAAAAAAAAAATTCTAAAACAATTTATTTCAGTATAAAACTGTGGGTCTGTGTATGATGAAGTTTTGGTTAAAACAAGCTTATTCTTTATTAGGAAATTACTAATGGTGTATAAAGTATCCAGACATTTTAGTGATATATCATAATAAAGTTACTCAAATAAAAGTGAAAAGTTCAGCATTGTAAAAAAAAGGTATTTTTATTACATCAATAAATGTAAGTCGATGCTATCCAACTCTGATAATAACACCAACTCTGTTGTTTGCTTTATTTAAGGGATGTATCATCTGCTGAGTTGGTCATTGTCAATCATAAGGGCATCAAATCGGAGATTGAGACCAGAGCAGACAGCTTCACTGCCTGTACCAAAATGGGAAATGACCTCATCAATAAGAACCATTACGCATCTGACGAGGTATTTGGCTACGATTCAAGAAAAACTATTTCAGAGGGCACACAATAACCTGCTTTTAGTGTCTTCATACCTAACAGCTCAATACCCTGTTTACTGAATACTCCTTTTATCTATAGATCCGAGAGAAAATGGCTCAACTCCAGGAAAAAAGAGATAAGATCAACAGCAAGTGGCAGGAGAAGATGGACCATTTACAAATTGGTAGGCATAGGGACTTCATTTCACTTCAATGGAATTTTGGAGTACTATGTTATTAAATAAATTCAGATATAAATTCAAATTCAAAGAATATCTTGTCCTGAAACAAAAGGTTATTATATTGGTATGTTAATTACATCATCTAACTGTGATGTGGCAACAGAAAAGCATGTAGGTACAGGTTTAAAAAGGAAGATATGCAAATGGGAAGGTTTAGGCTGTAGGGCTATTGAAAGGGAAGAACACACAGCATCATTTCATACTCATTGGGAAAAATGGTTGTACGGTTTAGCCATAGATTTACAAGGAAGTCATGTAATCTATTGTTATTAAGTGACATAATGCTGCTATTATTAATATTTCTTTTGGAAAAGTAGGCCTACTTGCATGCATTCGACTAACACTGACATAAGATCAGTTCATTTTTAATTGACGTCATTTTTGGGGGTTTTTCCAACACCACCATTCCCATCTTACTTAAATGAGTTACCACAGTCCTTCTACTGGTTTGAATGTCTTCTTACCAAGATGGTGAAGCAAGCTCTAATAACTTGGCACTCTTGGCACGTTTCATGATTTATTAGTATTTGATATTCTTGCACTTAACTTGGTGTTTGTATTTGCTTTAGTGCTGGAGGTGCTGCAGTTTGGACGAGACGCCAACGTGGCAGAGTCATGGCTGGCAGGGCAAGAACCTCTTGTCCGAGCGGCAGAGCTTGGTGCCAATGTTGACGAGGTTGAGAGCCTCATAAAGCGCCACGAAGCCTTCGAGAAACTGGCTGCAGCCTGGGAAGAACGCTTTGTGCAGCTCGAAAAACTTACCACAGTAAGTACAATGATCGCTTTCCCTCTGAAGTCATGGTGCCAACTCAGTCTGGTCTTTCTGAAATATTTTCTTATTAAAATGTTTAGCAATTCTGGGAAGTGGCCTGACACATTCAGGATGTTTCTAACCTCCTTTATGACAGCCAATTAAAGTTTGAGTCGTCTTTTTCTCCAGCTGGAGGAGCATGAGATGCAGAGGAGGCGAGAAGAAGAAGAGAGAGCACGGCGACCTCCTACTCCTCTGCCTGAAGAGGTGGTGCCGTCTGAGCCAGAGAGTCAGCCACATGATTCAGCAGCCAGGTAGGAGATGTTTGAAAGAGCAGACAGCAAAACCAAACCTGTTTTTTGGTTCACGTGACATTCATCTGTCTTTTAAACTCAGAACAAGTCTGGACCAGACGACACTCAATCAATTGGTGTCAGTAAATGGAGTGCACAGCGATAACGACACGTCTCAGGTGAGACAGGTTTGCCTTGTCCAACATTGTCGTGTTTTTTCCTTGCTTTTGGCCTCATTTCATGTTGTATTTTTGTATGATTCGAGTGGGTTATTGAAATGTGTTTTCAAGTTTGAATAAATTATTTAAAATTAATGTTAATATGCAAAATTCGACCAAGCAGAGTTGAAATGAGTCCAATATTTTTCCAACTCCATTGATTCAAAATCACTTCATATGAAAAGTATTTTTCATTGTTTGTCCTTGGTTGTCATACCACTGTGAATGGTATCTCATCTTTATATGGCATCTAACAAGGTATTGAATCTTAATTTAACAGCAAAAATGCCTGGCAAAAGTTACATTAGAATCTCAAGTTTCAATGTATTTTTCTGGAATTTTAGGTGAAAGAGAGACAATGAAACATGGTGGCGGTGGTATCATGCAGTTAGAAATATTTTCCCACCTTAAAACATAAACACACCGGAGATATAATAGACTAGTTTATATCAAACCTGCTACAAATCCTGACCCATTTCCATTTGAGATTATGTAGCAATCCTGAAATCAGTGTTCAGAGTCTCTCCATCCAAACTGAGACTGAGCTGTTTTTCAAAAAATGCAGCAAAAGTCAAGTCTAGACATGGGAAGCTATTTCTAGACTTTTTCCTGCAACTGTAATTGCAGGAAAATGTGATTCTACAAAGTTTGGAGAAGGCTGAGGACAATTGCTTGCCACACCTTTCAGATTTTTACCTGAAATCTGTGTTGTATTTTCCTTCCACTTTATGATTATGCATCTCTCGCTCAGTCTATTACTAAAGATCTAAAGATTGCTCTATGTGGTTGTAATGCTCCAAAAAGTGAACAGGCTTCTTATTCACTGCATTTTGAAGTGGTTAGATAATCTAAAAAAAAAATAGCTAGAATTAATATTTTGTCTTTACTGGAGCAACATGGTCAAACAAAATGGAAAAAAAAAATCTGCAATTTTGTCTTTTACAGAGAAGGAGAGGGGCCTGGGAAGAAAACAGTGCAGTTTTATATACATGTAGTTCAATCTTTTCAAAAGCATCACTAAGTGACCTGGATATCTTTTAATTTTGATCATGGCTGTTGACTGTGGTGTGTTGGCATTTTTGTTGAACTAAAAAGTTCAAGCCCCGAACTAACATTTAAGTGTCTGCCAGCGATGGACTCTTTAACAATTTCTCATTGCATTCTTACCAGCAGTCGTTATCGCTGCCGTTGTCAGTGGGAAAGAAATCAGAGCCTAAACGTGTGTGTAAGCCCAAACAGCAGGAGCGTGTGAGTAATGAGCCACGGTCAGCTTTGTTGTTGCTCCCCCTCCCAAACGCCCCCTCACCTTCCTGACAGCCTCCGCTCAGCTCCTGGTCAGCGGCAGTACTTCTTCTTTTAAGAAGCCATTGCTTCTTTGCATCCACTGCTTTATTTATTAATGAACCACACAGCTTCATTAATGAGTCCCCTGGCTGCAAAAAAGAAAAAAAAGCATGATGCACTTTCACGAACAGGATGTTTTCATGGATCTGATGCTGCGGTTTGCGGCTGCTGTGTATGTGCTTGTATTGACCAGGACGGGAGTCTCTAAATGTGGGGCAAAGTAAATGTGGTGGTTATTACAGCTGTTCAGTGGTATTTTTCTACGTGGCTTGTGGTAGTGTCTGTATGTTTACTTCTGAGTGTATATGTTGCTTAAAGTTAAAGCTTTGAATAGTGAATAGTTTTAATGACGGATGAATAACAGCCTTCTTGGTTTCAATACAGTTAAAGTTGTAGATTTTTAAATTAAGTCAGATTTTCTGTTTTTTTGTTTCATTTGGTGAAAAAGAAGCAAACGTCAAAAATTAGTTTCCTTAGCAGAGATTGTTTTTTTGTTTTTAGATGAAAACATAAGAATTTTCCTACTTATTTTCAGAACTCTAATAAAACAAGTTATAACAATTTTAAAATATTCTGCCGTTGGCTGTCAATATATCAAACGAGAGGCACTGCTGTCTGTGTAAGAGAGCAGTCATTGGAAAACAAGCTTTCAACATAATTTTAAGACAAATGGAAGTTAAATTGTTAGTTTTATTTTGGATGCTGCTGTTTATTACTAGAACAGCAATATCCATTTAGATAGGATATTGATATTCAAAGGGATAAAACAAAGCATCTCCATTCAGGCTTCCTGATATCTGACACTTCCTCACATTCTCACAGCCTGAATGGGCTGCAGACACGACGTACCGTCTCTTTAAAAACGTGTTTCCTTTTAAGTAGCTTCCTAGATATCTGTTGCCTTTGAGTCGTCTTTATGCAGTGTTGCAAGGTCTGCCTGGCATTAATGAATGTGGTGCATTTTTTTGAAAAATTATTGTTTTTTAACCAGCAGCTCTAATTAATCTGAAATTGGCAAATTTCTTAGTGCAGCTCTACAATTTTTTTCTTTGTTTTTTAAAGATTGTCAAGGAAAGTGGAATTAAACTTACTGAGGTTTTACTATGTAGGTTATAATTTGAATTGGTATAATTTTTTTCCCAAAATGTATTTAGGATGTTTAGCTTGTGCTTCTTGTATGTTTCCTTTGTGAGTAGCTAAGTGGTACGGTTTGTCTCTCAGTTATAATGTAGTGTAAAGTCTTGTGTAAAGTATGTTTCTATGAATCCAGTGGACCCCGTGTTCAGTACCTCAGTTTATCATGCAGTGTGTTAAAGCAAGCATCATTATGGCTTTTTGTGTTTGGCTGTGAACGGCTGCTTTGCTGCTCCCTTGGTCTTATTCTGATTTTTGCTGCCTTACCACTTTGGTCTGGTTTTAACCACAGGGCTCAGAGTCCGATTCCGTTAACGGACCCGGTAGAGACAGCGGCCTGGCGTCCTCTCGCCTCGAGCCGTCTGCCACGTTACCGAGCAGAGGCGGTGCCGACTCCGAGCCAGAAGCCATGGAGGGCATCCTCTGCCGAAAACAGGAAATGGAGTCCCACAACAAAAAGGCAGCTACCAGGTAGGAATTTGGTGAAAAGAGAGTGGAGACCTGGTTACATACTGGGAAAAATGTAATTAACTGAAGAGCACTTATTATCTCACTTGATGGGGCTTGGACCGCACACATTCAAATGGTTGTGGATCTTTTTTTAAAGTTCTTACACTTTTTTTAAACACTTTATTAAAGACAATTTTTTGTGATATGCTATTACAAATAATAATGACGTAAATGCAAAGGAATTAAAGGTGTACTCTTCATGTTTTTTTGGGGGTTTTTACAAACTGACAGAACAGAGAACAAATTAACTACTTATGTCGGTCTATAATTTGTAATGTCTCTATTTAAAAAAAGTAAACCAAATAATGAGATAAATCATACATCACTAGTAGAAATGAACTTTTCCCCCTCATTGAAATGTAATTATTTTCAGAGTTTGGGAAGCCATCTGGTTATTGCCAATATCATAAAGTTCAGAATCACATAAAGTATTAAAATATTGGTTAAAATTATTGTGAAATTAATTTGTGTAATGAAAAACATTTGTATTATCTGTGTAAAATTAGTTCTAATTTTTACTAGTATAAAAAAGGTTTATTATTTCATCAGCTTTTGACCAAATTTTAGTCAATTTGGAGGAATATTCAGTGCAACATCATTTATTGCTTTTTAGACGGAATTTATCCATATATATATATATATATTTTTTTTTTTTAAAAATCCCTTCTCACCCACCGCGGGTGGTTCTTATCCTCTGAGCTCGGGTCCTCTACCAGAGGCCTGGGAGCTTGAGGGTTCTGCGCAGTATCTTGGCTGTGCCAAGGACTGCACATGTCTGGATATATATATATATATATATATATATATATATATATATATATGTGTGTGTGTGTATATGTATATATATACATATAAAATATCTAAAAAAAACATTTAAACACTAATATTCACTTCAGACAGACTAAATTATCACAAACTACACAGATACATGTCCCATGTCTATACGAGCTTGACGTATACATTTGTTTTTAAAATATGGCTCAACAGTCAAAGCTCTCGATTACAAATTTCTTAACTCGGTCAAACGGCACATTAGTTTAGTCTTGCAGCTTCTCAGTAAAGCATAAAAAGTTGGAACACCACTCGGGTCGAGACAAACATATAGCAGCACACAATCGTGAAATTCTAATTCAGATTCTAAACGCACCCTAGAAAGCCATCCGCAGCTGTATGAGCAGATCTTAATTTATTCAACAACAAAAATGTATTTGTGTCAAAACGGAACAAGGAGCTTTTTGGGACGCCACACTTGTAAAACATTTTAGATAGTTTCTGAGCCAAGTGTGCGTTACTCTTAAAATTTCTTTAATTTCTATTTTTAAGATTTTGTGAACTTTGGTGTCAAAAGCCGGTTTTCACTCTTGTTGCTGTTGCAATTGCAGTATCTTTCACTTTATTAGGTTGTAAAATATATCTAACTTTTTTTAAGCTATTTTGTTGTCAACACCTGGATCATACTAATCAGACTAATTTGCTCCAACAGATCGTGGCAGAACGTGTACTGCGTTCTTAGAAAAGGAAGTCTGGGTTTCTATAAAGACAGCAAGAGTGCCAGTAATGGCATTCCATACCATGGAGAGGTTCCCATTGGGCTGGATGGCTCTGTGTGTGAAGTAGCCCACGACTATAAAAAGAGGAAACACGTATTCAAGCTCAGGTGAGGATAAAATAATTTAAAGCAAATATTTACCTTTAGTCCACCTGTTGGTATCAATGATTGACTGCATTCATTGAGTCATTTTTCCTGGTTCATGTGTCTGCAGGCTAGCAGATGGGAAAGAGTATCTGTTCCAAGCCAAGGATGAGGTGAGATGTACAGACTTGTCATTTTAAATGAATGAATGAATGATGAGGTATAATAAAACCTTTGTTGTTTTTTATAAGGCGGAAATGAGTTCCTGGATTCAGTCCATCGCTGGCTCCATGCCATCGGGATCAGGGGACTCGCCGGGAGCGCCCCGACTCAGCCGCGCCATGACGATGCCCCCCATCTCGCCAAGCTCAGGAGAAGGTGTAACCATGCGCAACAAAGAGGGAAAAGAGAAGGATCGTGAGAAGAGATTCAGCTTCTTTGGCAAGAAGAAATAGGACATTTGTAAATGGAAACATCCAAAATCGAAAAAATTCCACAGACTGAGGCAGGCGGACAGAAAGGTACACACAGGTCAGACAGACGCACTGCTCTCCATGCGGGACCCGAGGAATTGCCACCACATCTGTCACTTGGGACTCTTCAAATTTTTTTTGACTTCCTTTTCTGTTTGTTTCCCTCAGTGTTTTAATCTCTTGTTTACTTTATTTTCTCCCGATCTGTACTTGCTATTCACATTTATCCCCCAGACTAGCGTCAGACAAGTTTGTTGGTCTGAGTCGGTAACATCAGCTGAATTGAACAGGTCAGACGACTGAAGCGGCTCGTCCTCTGCAGGAATCGTCTCACAGTGACACCTAGTGGACGGAGTCTCCAGGAAACCTGCGGATCGTGGGTTTTTTTCCCCACTCCTCACAAGCCTTCTCTTTTGGGGGCGATAACATCCGTTTGTTTTTATGTTGATGTTAGTAACTTGATTAATATTATTATTAATATTTATCTTTTGCAATGTATGGTTTGAGAAGAAAACTAATTAATGACCTTGATTTATGTTGTGGAGAGAAACAAATTTGGTTCAACTAGTGGAGAATGTTGGTCTTGCCCTTGTATTTTTTTCTCTTTAGGAAAGATCATTTATGAGGTGTTTTGCAACAAAAATAAAGCTCGAGTTTTAGCCGTGTGCGTTAAATGATCACAGGTACACTGGGAAAATCATATATACATATATTTAATTAGTGGTCTCATAATTCTTTTTTCTTGTTTATCTCCCGATTTTGCCTGCATTTGATGATTTCTTTTGAGTGATCTTTTCTGCTTGATTTTTAACTTTGTTTTTTTTCTTCATAAAGCAGACTAGTTTTCTAGTGTGAGCGTGTGTGAGTTGTGGTGCTGTGGATTTTGCATGTTTATTTGTTCCTAATTAAATACAGTCAGATGGATGTCGCTTTTCGAAAACCAGACACAAGCAAAGTATCACTGGAGTAATTTTCTGAAAATTTTTACTTTTCCTTTTGCTTTATAGTACCAGTAACATTCCTCTAGACATTATTTTTCTCCTCTTCGTTTTAGTCTCCTAAACTATTTTCCGTTTTTTTTTTTTTTTTTTCTTTTTTTTTGGGTCTGAAATGAAAGCTTTGGGGACAGTTTGCAGACGAGAAGCTGAAGCACATTTTGTGGCGGCAGACTGCGGTGAGGAGAGCAGGACTGAAGGACAGACTTTGCCAAGCGAGGGGAATGGAAGTGAGACAGGAAGGGCATTGATGAAGACGCTTTAGGTGCTCTCTTACAACCATACATGAGCCTGACCTTTACTTGAACACACTACATTTATTCTGATCCCTTTTTACAAACACACCCTTCATTCGAAACAGTCTTAAAGTTTTCTTAGTACAAAGAAGTGAATGTTAACCATGTGCCCTGTGGCAATGACCTAATGTATGTTAGTGGATTATTAGTCTAGATACAATGATGGCGACCATGCGAAGCTCTGCTTACAAGCAGCCAAGTTACTGAGGAAAACAGTCTGCAGTTAGTTTAATAAGCCGTTTTGCTATTTTGTTTTAATCTGAATATATGGCATGACAATGTGGGATGATTATTGTACGTGTCTGAACATCACCACCTACTTTATATGTTAATTTATTCTGGAAACAGCTTTTAATCAGGACCAGACGTAACGATTAGATGTAATTTGGCAGAAACTCACTCTAGCAGAGCAAATGTATGCAAATACTAGGTGATAGTTTCCTCAGATATTGTTTATGAAAAGGACCTTTACAGGATGTAGACATTAGTACAAATTTACACAATAGTTCATTGCTGCACCTGATCTTGCATAAAACCAAGTAAACAGTATAAGACGTTAGCTGCAATTTGTGTTTTTTTTTTTTAACAGTATACACAATGTTCCAAATTATTATACAAATTGGATTCAAGTGTCATAAAGATCACATTTTTTGTTGTGCTACTAAATTTATAGATGGTATTGTGTGTCAGGGCTCTTTGAATCACTATAATTAATTTCAGAAAGCTGGTTGATTAGTTTGTCTGGTGAGCTCAATTAAAGAAAATCTACTTAAGAAGGATGTTCCACATTATTAAGCAGGCCACAGGTTTCAAGCAATGTGGGAAAGAGAAAGGATCTGCTGACGAAAATCATCAGATAGTGTAGAACCGTATGAAAACATTAGATATGTAACAAAAACTGAAGCTTTATCATCGTACTGTGAAGAGATTTGTGGCTGATTCAGAACAAATATGGGTTTGTACAGATAAAGGCATAATGAGGAAGGTTTCTGTTTGACAAATTCATTGAATTAAGAAGGCCGCTGTTAAAATGCCCTTACAAAGTTATTTGAAACATCCACCTTGAGGTTGCCTCTGGAACCTCAAGGTGGAGGATCCTTCAGAGGCTTGTGGTGCATGAACCGACTATTGGGCTCCTAACCAGAGCTCACAAGCAGAAACTGTCGCATTGGGCCCAGCCGTACATGAAGATTAATTTTCAAACAGACTTGTTCACTGATGATGGACGCAGTAGTGATTGGTGGTGGATGGGCACTACGTCCCAACACAGCTGTGATGTCAGCAAGGAGGTGGTGGAGTCATTTTTTGGTCCAAAATCATGGAGAGAGAGAGAGCTGGTCAGTCCTCTCTCCATGAAGGTGTAAAAATGACCTCAGCAAAGTAGATGGACTTTCTGATTGATCACTTTCTTTCATGGTTCAAAAAGAAGATCCGTACCTTCAGTAGCAAAATCACGCATGGCAATGCACCATCTCATGCTGAGGAATACCACTGTGTCATTGGCTGCTATAGGCACAAAAAGGGAGAAACTCATGGTGTGGTCACCATCCTCTGACCTCAACCCTATTGAGAACCTTTGGAGTTTCCTCAAGTAGTAGATCTGAGGGTGGAATGCAGATCACAGCAAAACAGCAGCTCTAGGAAAGTATTCTGACATCCTGCAGAGAAATTCAAGCAGAAACTTTCCGTAAACTCACAAGTTCAATGGATGCAAGAATTGTGCAAGTGATCTCAAAGAAGGGCTCCTATGCTAACATGTAACTGTCTGTTAAGATGTTTTTGTTTGAAATAGCTTTTGATTTTAGTACATGTCCACTTAATGCCGCACATTCAAAGAATGACCGTTTACAGTTCATTATAATCCATAAAATTTTTAGAAAATCTGTTGTGCATAATAATTTGGAACAGTGCATTTTGAGTTTTTTATTTTTGAAAACATGCTGTTCTCATGGGGAGCTTTGTTCAGTAAAATTTTATTTATACTGCAATAGTTCATGACTTAAAAATTATACTGACCATTTGCATTGACCATTTAAGAAAATATCACTTGCATAATAATTTGGAACACAGTATATGTACCCCTACAACTCTGGTATTTGAGTGGCATGACTTGTAAAAGTGTTTACCTATATGGATGTCGCACCTCGGCATGGGCTGGTAATTTTAATCAGAATTAAAAATACCACATAATTTCAGCCAACATTTAAAACAAGCATATGTAATGTCTTATTGTTAGTAGTTTTCAAGTGCTTACTGTGCAGAATATTACAGTTTTTGTAACTGTTATTTGGTTTTTATATAGCAATATGAGGTATTCGCTAGTTAATTAGTCTGGTTACCTGCTCTGGTAGCTAGCCTGCAGTTGGCTGCTTAACAGACATGCTGCTCAATTTTTTAAAAGGTTCCTTTTCACACCATTACTGTTTCGCAGGTAGGGTTATTTTCAAAAATCCTTTTTGTTTTTTGTAAACAAGAGGAAGGTGTTGGAGATTATATTTTTTTTTCTGTTTGATGCATCTTGAGACTGCTAATCGCCCCAGGCCTAGTTTATCTGAACTGCAGGCTGGTCGCACAAATCAGCTCAAAAGGGATGCTGGTCATTTTGTCAAGAGTAGATTTTATGGTGATTTGTCCCAATCATTAATAAAGATAATTGGTATGACATGGAATGACATGTAGGTACAAAGTGGGGGTACAAAATGGCGACGAAACAACTTTCACCTTTTAAACCGAATGGTTTTCTTTTTCTTGTCCAAACCAGGACTATTTAGATGAAGGAAATCCTTCTGAACGCAGATTGCTTAAGAGCAGGCAGCCCCAACTTTATAAAGCACACCTGTTTCTGTCTGTAGGACTGAATATACCAGACATGGCTCAGAGCTTCTAGTTTCTGAAATTAAGCCACAATCAAAGAACTACACAACATGCATTACGTGAGCCAACGCAATTGGCACAAATTGGAAGAGAGGCGTTGATCCTCCTTGGTGGACAAGCTGGTGTGACTCCCAGTGCTACCCGTTCTCCCAACGTTTAATACCAGATCCGACTGATGCTGCCGAGCTCCAGCTCAGAGGTCACACAGTCTATTTTCATACTGGCTCGTTTGAATGTGAATGAACTCAACTGAATTTGGCCAAATTGGTCAAGTGAAGCTTAACTCATACTTGACATACTGTACACAGGCTCTGTATCACGTATACTCACATTGATACCACTTTGGTACTCCAGTCTTGTGGGAATGTCCTCAACTGGCTATGATTTGATGTTGCATATTGCATCCTTTCTAAAACAATATAACTTTGTGCTACTGGTGAGCTTTGACCAGAACTTAAGAAGTATGCATTATTGATGTCAAGCAGGTTTTTGGATCGAAGAGTGCTGGTATCGATGAAGAAAAGCAGCTTTTACATGTTAAGTATTAGATGTGGTTAAATATAGACTGCTGACAGTTTGAGCTTCCTCTTTCAGAAGAATGCTGAATATTTGCTGTCCAATGGGAGCTTGTATTTTTTTCATCCAGTGGTCTGTCTTGCAGCATTTGATAACCCTTTTCTTCTCTCATTTCTCAGTACCTTTGACAAATGTCTGTTCCTTCCTCTGTAATTCAGAGTTGTTAATACCAGTACTTGTATTAATTGCTCTTATGACCATTATTGCTACTGTTGTTACTATTACTACTACTGTTACTAATGCAACTTATTGCAAAAAGTACAACTGCTGTCCCATTTTTTTTCAGGTATGTGTCTGTAATGCCAGACTCTTCCACACGATGTCAGTGTGCTGTGGAGCATTTTCATTACAAATCAAAAATACTGTTTGTTGACTTGTGTATCTACATCTAATATTAGGAATAATAAAACGGTTTAATCAACACAGGAGGTTGGGTTTCTTTTTTTATGCTGGTTCACATGGTTTCTTATGTTCCAGACTAAAAAGAGGGATTAAATGGATGTCCAAAGCGAGATTCTTTAGACTAGTGTTTAATTTTTCAACATATTTAACAACCAAATATGCCTATATTATTAGGATTCAACAACAACAAAAAAAGTTTCTACATATCAACCTATAGAAAAACAAAACATAAATTTCAGCAGTCAAGACTACATATACACAGTGCAATGCAGTCCACCTTAACTGACAGAAAAGCAGCCAAAATCCCCATGGAGGCAAATATCCTACAGGTAAAACTAAAACTGGACACCTCCTTCACCTATGTTGTCTGAATATACTTTTTTTTTCTTTTGCTGTAATGTGATAATAAAATACGATTTTTTAAAATTTTGTATTTTTAATTTTGTATGCCGACCTTTTTCACGCTTCCGGGTTTGAAAGCGGATGTGGGGTTGGACAACTTCCGGTGGCTATAGCGTTAGCATTAAAAGGCTAGGAAAACGGCTCAGTCTCGGCGCAGTTGTTTTTGTTCAGTCCCTGGTTGTTCATGTGGGACAAGGAAACAGCCTTATCTGTCATATCATGCGTTCAGTGGATCCAGGCGACCCGAAGAGATGAAGGTCAGGACTTTTGCATAAAGACGGGGAGCACTTTCGTATGTAGCCGCCACTTCACACCGGAGGATTTTGTTAGCGGATCCACCACCAGCCGCCTCAAAAGTGGAGCTGTTCCTTCCCTGTTTGCCTGGAATAACTTCACTGCACCGGCAATGAGAGAGTCTGCTTTCGAGAGGGCTGAGAAACGGCAGTTTGTCCTCTCAGAAAGCTAGCCAGACTGAAGATGCTACCGCGGACAATGACTACACGGCAGGGGCCGGGTCGGTTGTGCGCATGCGCGCGGCCGGGTTGGTTGTGCGCATGCGTGGGGCCGGGTTGGTTGTGCGCATGCGTGGGGCCGGGTCGGTTGTGCGCATGCGCGGGGCCCGAGCGGTTGTGCGCATGCGCGGGGCCGGGTCGGTTGTGCGCATGCGCGGGGCCGGTGCATAACCACCCCGCATGTTCTGCGCCCCGCAACAATAAAAGTTAACTTGCCGTCATTGACAAAACTCCATTTGGGGAAAAAACAAACAAACAAACAAACAAAAAACTAAGCTAAACGTTCTTTAAAATGTCATCCACCTAATTGCAGTGACGCCTATTCGGCACTAGGAGCCGCACGAATTCAAGCTTCTGCTTCATCCGCCTACAAGTCCAGACAGGGGGCACTCATTACCCGGCAGGCACTTTACCCGTGTTTTAAAGCAAGATGGCAGCTGTTGTTGAGAATGTTGTCAAACTGTAAGTACTGGACTTCCTTGCAGATTTTATACCTATAAAAGTGACGCTCACCTCAGTCACGTTATTCCGTCTGTATAGTTACTCATTCACCGACTATTTCGCCAGCTAGCTTTGGAGCATTCTGTTTTAGTGCGGTTAGCCAACGCTGTCGAAGCGTCGCGTCTGTCTTTTTACATCCTGGAATGAAAGTAGAAGTTAGCAGACACGCCACTTATACTTTTATACACACGCGAGCTACCAATATGTGTTGAGAAACGTGTGTGAAGTTTCCTTGCTGTGTACTTGTTCTTAATTGTTACGTCCTTGTGGTCAAACGGTCGACGCAGCTAGGTGGCTCGCACGCTAACAAGCTAAAGAGTCCAACGCTGTTTATGACAACTGGCCGACTAGTTTTTTGATGAATGAAAGACGGGCGGTGAAGTTTTTTTTCTTTAATTTTGAAAGCTTAGACGCTTCTGTAGCTGTCACGCTTTAGATCAGGTCACTGCAACTCTTTTTGAGGTGTAAAGTTTATTGCTTTGATGAGGCGTGTGTGTGAGCTCAACCGTTCCTCCATTTCCGCTGTCTCCCTCATGATGCAGCCTGAGCCCTGGTTAATGTTACACTCTGATTACAAGCATTTAACTGAGATTACACACACAACATACCGACACATGTCCTCAAATTAACCTCCGCAATGTTGTGAAAATATGTAAAACGTGCTTTGATAACTTTTTAAATGTATGTTTGTGTTCATCAGTTCCTGTCAAACTTTCCATACACTTATAAACATAGATTTTTGATCGTTTTTAAGCTTTTATGGAGTAATTTAAATAGTTGTTTTTGAAAGATAGACTGGGTTTACAACATATAACTTGAATAAACGTTAAAAATAAGAATTAGGTGCATAAATTTTAATAAACTGTGGGTTAACCTATACATACATGCAAGTTATAATTTATTAATCAACCCTAAGATTTCCCCCATAAAACTTACTAAGCCTGTTGGTTGGGTGCCAGTCATTCATCCAGCAGCCTGTCATGTTTTTGAGTTAAACATTTTTTAAAGTTGGCAAGAAATTAGAAAACATCACTTGATGATTATGTATCATTGAAACATTGGTGATTAATACCTGAACACCAACTATAAAGTCTTAAAAAATGAAAACATTTTAAGAAGACTTAAATAAATAAGCAAAGTTTGGCCTGGTGGGGGCACAAGTAAAGCCTGGTGGCCTGCCAGGCTTAAAATACACTGGTGGAACCCCTGAATCCTGATTAGTAACATTTTGTTTAGTCCCCTTTAACTAGTGCCAGAGAAATCAAACGACATAACATATTTGTAGCTACATGTATTATCTTTTTTCTGGCAATCTTTTACAGTGTATAAATGGGATGGTTTTCCTCTACACGCATAACTATTTAGTGCATTTTCAATAAGGTTGCAGTCAGGACTGTTTCTAAAGATAAAACATTGTTTGGAATGTTTTATCCGTTCCAAGCAATTTAGTTTTGTCTTTACAATCACTGTCCAGTTGGAACAACCAGGTCCTAATTTTAATGTTAATTTGAATTAAGGATAGAGCTCTGTATTTATTACACCAGTTTGTGCAACATTCCAGTAGCACTGGAAGTAGAACAAGACTATCAGGTCGAGCTAAGTGTCCTTACTTCGTATCCAAACTTCATTTTTGTCATTTTAGCATAATAACTCAAACATTTTTCTCCAGAAGAAAGCACCACATTTCATTCATGTATGTCAAGCATTTCTGTCTATACTCCCAGTTCATAATGATATTAAATTGCTCTTTCTGTAGATTATGGTGCTGTTGTCACTTCCTGTTCATGTTATACTGAAGCCTTTGTCATTTTGTGGTTATTCTTTGTTGTCCTAGCAAATCTGTCATTGAGAGTTTGAATCCCATGGCGGAAACAAAGTTGGGTGTACCAATTGTACATTAATCAAAAATCTTTTGAAATGGGTCAAGTTAGATTAAACTGTTTCTGGTCCGACCATGACATCATCCTCAAAGCAAAGTCTTTGCTGCCAAGCTAACCAATTAAAATGAGCTCTTCCAGGTCTGATAAGACTTGATCGAGCTTATTGTGGACTTTTATCCACAATAGAAGCCTCTTAGTTTTTGTATATTAATAGAAACAATATGTCGTATGTAAATGTATGACTGGCACAGACAGTAAATGGTTACATTTGACTCATTTCACTGTATTCTCAGGTTGCATTCTTCAGCACCAGATTTATTAGGGAGTAAATGCTGAATGTTGCAGTTAAAATGTTGAGCTCATGACTGAGCAGTGACTCTTACTGGAAACATTTTTTTTGTATGATTGATATTCAAATAAATACTGCTTTCAGCTTTTTCCACTCGAGAGCTGCTGGGTACGGTTAAGTTCTGTGTTTAACTGGAGTAACTTTAAGGAAGTAGACTCGACCGCTGAAATACCGGTATCTGGGTAGTAGCCAGCCTCTTGCTCAACTGCAGCTCACTTCCTGCAGTGGAAGAAAACTTTTTGGCTAGTTTGATCTAACTTTTTACTCTGCTTGCAATTCTTCTACAAAGTAGGAAGTGTGGATAAAAACCCATCTCTCTGTTATTTAGACTTCACTAATAGTTGACATTGTCAGAGCTTGTTTAAGTTAATTTGTTTAAGTAATAAAAAAGACTGAGTCTTAACTGTAGCTGTATATTTTACTAATGCGTTTTCCTTGATTTTCCCTGTTATCCATATTTTGTTAGGAGTCAGTCAGTGAGTTCCCCTTTAAGTGTGTTCATAAATAACCTGGTCTGACTTAGTCGACCTTGGAGTCTTGATTGAGGCCCAGCTGCTGCGGCCGGCCTGTCACTATGAACACTTTAAATAATGTTGCCAACTGTTTCTCGCTGCCACTGTAAAAACATGCTTGTGCAGCAAAGAGACACGCCTCAGGAAATACTGATGAGGCTGAACCCTTTCCCATACAAAATAAAACACATTTATTTTTTTTATTAGAAATGACTCGTGGTACCAAACCGCTGTTGGACATTTTCTTATTAATTAAATATTTCAACTTCTTGTTCTGCTCAGATTGGGAGAGCAGTACTACAGAGATGCCTTGGAGCAGTGTCACAACTACAACGCCAGGCTGTGCGCTGAGAGGAGCGTTCGAATGCCATTCTTGGACTCTCAGACCGGCGTGGCTCAGAGCAACTGCTACATCTGGATGGAGAAGAGACACCGGGGCCCTGGTAAGACTCCAGATTTGCTCTCAGAGATTTTACAGAGCTTAACACAACCAGAGCAAAGTCGAACTGTTGACACGCAGTCGGGTGGTTTTCAGATGTTCGTTTTTACACAGACACACCGAGCCAATCTCCCTCTGCAGCAGCATCCTGGTGTTTTCCGATCAAACAAATACACCCTCAAACTTCAGACCAAACACACAATGGCTTCCAATGGAGAGGGGGTAAAATATTTGATTTTTGTCACACAGATGCAACGAGAACCAATTTCAAAAGTCCATTCTGAGCCCTTAAACCCTTTGAAAGAAGTAGAAATCTAAGGAGATGGAAACTCCTAGCAGAAGCATTCCTACCTGTTCATCTTTCCCACATTTACTCTCCTAATAACCACAAATTTGTATTTAAGCATTTTGTATGGATTTTATTCTCTGCAGAGGTCAACAGCTCAGGATCGAGAATGAGTTGACGTCGTAACTACTAGTTGTTGCTTCAGTTGTGTCTTTAATGGAAGGTGTAAACATGTTAAGAGGTTCTCTTGGTAGCATTATTCTGTAGAAATACTTTTGTTCAGCAAGGACAAGAAAGCTGATCAGAGAGATGCTGGGTTAGGAACAGGTGTTGCCAGCTTTAATTTCCTTCTGAATGCTACAAAGAGACAACTTCAACACACTGAGATCAGACATGGCATCTTCCATTAGGAAGGAAGCCGCTGCTGAGTCATTTAGTCTGAGTGCCTCCATCAGCCTGCCGCGCGTCCATCGATCTGGACCGGTCAGTGATGAGCTCTCCTCTCCTCAGGCATGGCTCCGGGTCAGCTCTACACGTACCCAGCCAGGAGGTGGAGGAAGAAACGGAGAACTCATCCTCCAGAAGATCCACGCCTCATCTTTCCTCCTGTCAAATCAGGTACCAGGGCAAAGAGCTCGGCTTGCTCTCTATTTAATTAGGTTTTCAGTAACATGCCTGGTAAAACTGCAGGATACTTCATTTGTAACTTTCATGTTGAAGCATGAAAGCAAAGTATTAAGAAGTTTCTGTCTCGATCTGTTTTTTACTCTTAGAATTAGATTTGGGGCTGAAGAAGGATGTCCTGCTGTCGTCAGATGGCAGCAGCTTGGAGGCCTTGCTGAAGGGGGAACCTCTGGACAAACGGACCCCGGCGGACATCCGGGGGTCAGAAGAAGACTCCAATCAGAGCGACTACACCGGCAGCCTGAACCCCTCCACCCGGATTAGAAAGGTTCCTGTTCTCACTACCGACATCTCATTTACTGCCGACATGAAATCAGATGTTCAACCTGGACTTGCTGTCCGCTCTATTTATCTTCCTTCCTCCTCCTCTCTTCAACATAGAGAATTCTCGAGCCAGACGACTTCCTGGATGACCTGGACGACGAAGACTACGAGGAAGACACGCCTAAAAGAAGAGGCAAAGGGAAAGGGAAGGTAAAAATTAACTATGTTGTTTCTTCATTTATTCGAACTTTGGGTTGACTCCAGCCTCGTCCGCAGGGTCGAGGAGTGGGTAGCGGCAGGAAGAAGCTGGACACGGCAGCGATGGAGGACAGGGACAAGCCCTACGCCTGTGACAGTGAGTCCTCATGCGACAGTAGTCCTTTAACAAAGCTAGTTAGAGTTCTGCTGCTTCTTGTTGCTGTTCTTTTGGTTTCCTCCACCTCTTTCCTAAATTCAAATTGAGAATCTGTACCTCTTGAACTGTTTTTCTTCCCTCTATTGAAACTGTTTCGCTTTCATTGCTGACCGACTGTTTCTGTTTCTCTGATCTTCTGTCTGTGCTCTCCTCTGATTCTCCTCTCTCTTCCAGACACTATCAAACAAAAGCACATTTCAAAACCTTCTGAAAGAGGTAGATTTCTCTTCATCACTTCTTTCTCTCATTGTCTGTTACTGAGTAGATGTATGTATTTTTATGTACTGTCATTGTTCTGTTTTTTTTTTTTTTTTTTTTTCTGGAAGGAGGAATTTTTCTTTTGCTTGCAGTTTCTCTAGACCAAAAACAAAGACTCGTATCCAAATGTAATGAACCAGATTTTGAAGGTTTCGGTAGCTCTCGGCTTAAGTTTAGTTCTTGAAGATGAGTATCGGTAAATTTTCCAGCTAAACTTTTTAGTTAATGCATGAGGTTTGATTTTTGTCTGTTTTTTTGTTTGCACCCTTCTGAACATTCACTCATTTCATATTCTATTTTTTCTAAAGGCCTTTGCTTTGATATTGAGTCAGTTTGATGTTTGCATGACCTTTTCAGTCTGTTCAGCCACCGGCGACAGTCACATGGTTTGATGTGCTTATTTAGATCTTCAGACTTTCACCCAAGATGCTTGTTTTAGCTGACAGATGACGAAATATGATGGTTAGCGTTTTGAGGAAATGAAAAGCAGATCTTGGTGCGGCAGTGAAAGAAGAAGTCTCATCTTTGACTTGTTACACTCATCATGTAACAACCCCACCCTCCCAGAGTGGCAGCGTCACACAGTTTTATCTTTGTACTGTTTTCAAGCTGGGGATGCCTGGTATCACATAATCTCCTTTAATCTCAGTGGTTTACAGAGCACATGAAAACCAAGGGATTACTGTTGGAGGGGGGTTTTTCGTCTGACTTACTTAAAATTATTAAACCAATCATTTATGTTTAAGATTGAAGAGCTGATTAATTTCATACTTTTAACTGCATCTTCTAGTTGTTTACTAAACCTAAATAGTGACTGTACCCTGCACACATAATCATGACACCTGAACGTTTTCACCATTTGTCTCTATAACTACAAACTTTAGTGTGTCTACCTGGGATTTCACATAAGCACCAGAAAGTGAAAGGAAAATACGTGATTTTATTTATTTATTTTTGAGTAAAAATCTAAAACGTGTGGCATGCATTTTGACCTTGCCCCCTCCTCCTTAGAACATTAAGACTCACAGAAGTCACCCAGTTAATAAATAGTCCATCTTTGTATTAACCAACATTCACCATAATGCAGCCAAAAGGCTTGTGGTAGCTTTGGAGGAGCTGCAGAGATTCCTAGTCAACACTCCTGGCTTCAGTTGTGCAGAAAGAAAGAATGTTATTAAAAGTTCCCATCTTTCACTTTTTTGCCCCTTACAAGTGAAACAAAGCGCTCGATCAGCTGAGATCAAAATGAAAATTGTGTGTGGCGGTAAGGGAGCCTCCATCACCCTGAGCACAACCTCACTTTAGTAGAAATATGTAGGTGGCAGCATGATGGTGCGGGATTCCATTTTATTAGCAGAAACAAGATAGCCTGCCAGGATTGACAAAGTACATTCAGGAAAAAACATTAAGTTGGATAACAATCGTAAAAACAACCAGGGCTCCAGAGAAATCTGTCAGATTAGAGCGCATTTGCGTTAAAATCCTTATAATTTATAGCAACACATGAAAACTGGTGCTCACAAACTCCATCAAATGTAACCTTGCTGGAGCATTTTATTACAAAGACTGAAAGGCATAAATTTCAGTCCCTGTACATGCAATGCTGTTAGAAATATACCCTGAAAGATTTATGGCTGTAATTTTCAGTGAAAAATGTTTCAACCAAGGACTGGCTCAGAATACAAATGCATGACGCACTTGTCAGATTTTTATATATTTTTTAAAAACTAGATAGTATGACTACTTTACAAAGCAACATTGTTTTTTTTTTTAAATCAGCAGAATGTCATCTGTATTTCCCCATTTCTACTTCTTTGACTGCAGCTTGTAATTCTGTTCCAACTTTAATATTCATTATAAAAAAACATTGAAACTTTGTGTGTTGAAAGAGATTTCCTGTTTGCATCATCACTTCTCCCCACATGAACCGTCTAACAGAGGCTTCTCTCAAACCACTGCAGTCCTAATAAGTAGAAAGCACTTTATTCTTCAGAAATACAGCAGGTCTTTTATTTTAGTGAGAAGACAAAAATAAATCGCTTTGGTTAGATCCTCACCTTTCATTCTGTTTTTTTTTCACTGCACAGATTTGTGCTTTTTCTTCTTCTTTTTGAAAATCTGTTTACTTATTTTGGTGTCAGTCTGTGGGAAGCGCTACAAGAACCGCCCAGGCCTGAGCTATCACTACGCCCACTCCCACCTGGCGGAGGAGGAGGGCGAGGAGAAGGATGACCTGGAGATGAACGAGTCGGCCCTCCCGCTGCCTGAGGAGCCAAAAAGTAAGAAACGAGCACCAGAGACTTTCTGTGTCACTATGCAGGCATCACTGGTAACTGATAACTATTTTTTTATTCCCTGAAGCAGCTCCCAAAAAAGGCCCAGATGGTCTTGCATTACCTAATAATTACTGCGATTTCTGCTTGGGAGACTCCAAAACCAATCACAAGACGGGCCAATCAGAAGAGCTGGTGTCCTGCTCGGACTGTGGACGCTCCGGTACGTCCTTGAGATTTCTGAAAGAGGCATGCAGACTGCACACATAGACCTGTTCACTAATCTGTGAGAACGTTTCTTTTCTTGTGTGTGGTGAACAAAGGCCACCCGTCCTGCCTGCAGTTTACTCCTGTAATGATGGCTGCTGTGAAGACGTATCGCTGGCAGTGCATAGAGTGCAAATGCTGCAACATGTGCGGTACCTCTGAAAATGATGTGAGTCTCTAATATTAGTATGGAGTTGAACTCTGAAATACAGGAATTGCTGTCCAGAATGGCCCAGTTTTAAGTGATTCACCTATTTAACAGGGCAGCAGCCCAGACTTTGGAGGCCCCAGAACTGTTTAGTTTATTATTAATTCTTTTTAGTCTACATCTCCTGTTTTTATTATGCAGCTTTGATTAGAAACCTTTTAGAAAAGGGTATAATAAGCAACAATTTTTTGTGGACAGAGCCTAAAAGTTCTTATTTAACTTGTTTGTTGTAAAGGTTTATGTCAAGTTTATGTAAAATAATTGGTGTGAATAAATGGGATTCAGCAGTCTGATTCAGTTTTCAGAGAAATATGAATCATAATGTTTGGTATTTAAGCTGGATTTGTCCTTTACAGACTTGCATGCAAGGGCCAAAGAGTTTCTCTAAGAAAGTTCATGAGTTCTGATTGTGTTTCTTCAAGGATCAGCTTCTCTTCTGTGATGACTGCGATAGAGGCTATCACATGTACTGCCTCAACCCGCCGATGTCTGAACCTCCAGAAGGTAACGACATTAATGAGACACTGTTTCAGACAATGAAGCTCTTTTATCAAAAACTGTGTGCCCAGAATGTGATTTATAAACAGTTAAAAAGATTAGCAAAATGCTTTTTGTTGCTAAAAGTTTTCGCTCCTCCATCAATTCCTTGACTGCGGGTGTTTCAGCACCGAGCCTCACCAGCTGCTTCGCCAAACAAAGAATATCTGCATATTGGTAAACTCCATCCTGGTTCAATAAATCCAGTCGTGAAATTTTCTCGCTATTCCACAGTAAAGTAGAGGATTTATAACAAAGTTATAAATAAATCGGGAAGATCAGAATCTCCTTGAAGTGATGACTTAATGTGACCTTCAGATATATTCAGAAATGGTGCCTGGAATGGTTTTTATAGCTGAGCAGCCACATTAAACCCTGACATCACCAAGTCTTCTGTAATGTATGGGAAGAAATGGGTTATTAAAGCAGGTTTTCTGTAGAAACAAATCCTGCTGCTTTGCGTGGCGATACACTGTCTGGTTTTGGTCGAGCCCAAGAGTCGGCCTCAGCCAGTAAAAGGAACTCTTAATGCTCCAGCGTACAAAAACATTTTAGTATGGTCAAAAATTCCCATAAATATCCTCGTAAACCTTCTCTGGAGACTTTAAACCGTCATTATTTTTTTTTATGTGGTAGCAGATTTTATTATAAATGTCGCACTTTTTGTCCTAGAACACAAAATAATGTTCCAATAAATGAAGTAATGGACATATTTATTCCCTGATTACATATTTCAAAATGGATACTATTATTAGCTTTCATCCTCATCATGCAAAGCAAATATGCAATGTGTTTTTGAAATTAACTCCTTAAATGCCATTTTCTGTTTAAATCTTGACTTCGAAATGCCTGAAAACTTTTTCATCCTATAAATGCAAAACGATTCATGTTTTGTTTGCCGAATAATAACACCTTAATAATTTGAAAGAGAAATGACAACGTATTTTACTGAATATCTGTGGTATTGATTTTAGGATGCCACACCTTTGTTTTTCACAACGTAAATGAACAAATTAGCGCCACCTGCTGGTGTCTTACAGTCAGTAATCCTTGGAAATATTGACAAAACATTGATTTACACTACAATTTGCAATATATTTAAAAATGTATATTTTAAATAGGATTTGGTAGCACAAATTTCTGAGATCTGGACCTCAATATGGTTTTAGCCAGAGAACAACAGATGTTAAATGAAAAATTTTAACCTTTGGCCCAAATACAATCCTGTGGTGATTTTCTTCCATTTGCATCATCAGAAAAATACAAACATTAAAGATATGCACTAGGACAGCAAAATAATGTCCAACACATTCTTGAACATCATTTTGATAAACAAGTCGTTGACTCTCCTTGGTAAAGTTGGTAAAACGTCACCAGACTCATCGGAGCATCAACTTTTAAACATTTCTCAACTCGACTTTCTCTGTCATCTTTCAGGGAGCTGGAGCTGCCATTTATGTCTGGCCCTTCTGAAAGACAAGGCGTCCATATTCCAGAATCAGAACGCACCCACGTCGTGATGGCCGCTCCGTCGCCCACCCGTCCTGCAGCATTACGGTGAACCCTTCAAGGTATACAACGACCTCCTCCGTCCCCTTCACCAGGCGTCGGCGTGGGGGTGGAGTGTGCTCTGGATCCAGGAGGAACGCCCGATCAGACTGGCCTCAATTAGCACCACATTATGACTGTTACACAGTTCCGGCCTTAGATCCAGTCCAATGGGTTTTTATTTTCATCCACTCGCCACATTTAGCCAGTTTGGTATCGTTTGTTTCAGAGACGTGTCATAAACGGCCAAACTTCCACTTTGCGTTCAGCTTTTATACCTAAAGTTGCTAAAGCTTCGTCTCTGTCCTGTAACGTACTGATTTTATGGAGTTTAAAAAGCTTGATCATGGTGAAAAACAAATACATTTTATAATATTTATATATTTCTATGGTAAAGATTATTATGTATGTAAAGCTTTGGGAAAAAAGGAACGACTGTGTTTAATATTAGCTATCATTTTAGGAGAAAGGCCACAACCACATGATTTTTGTGGCACTTAGTGGATTTTTGATCCACCTGATGCAGTCAAAGGGATTCACTGCGACTGTAAAGGGTTCAACGTCTTCACAATAAAAACAAACAGGAAGTACAAATAGAATCCCTCTGATGTTTCTCAGCGTGGCTCCACAGGCTGCGCCGCTTCAAACATGGCAGGTTGGACCTTTATCTCTCGGGTCAATCGTCATGGTGACGCACCGACGCGTGCACATGCCTCATATTGTCCTATTTTTGTGATGTAGTGACTTATTTCAAAACTTTTCCCACCGTTTGTGACATATTCTGTACTATTTAAAAAACAAATTTGTTTCAAAAGGTTAAAGAGTAAAATAGCAATAACTTGTTTGCACACCCTTTGACCTTTTGCTCCAGTTTTAATATCAAATCTTGTGTGTACATTGAACATCAGTTAAGTCTGAATTTGGTCTAAACGACCACTAAGCTTTTTCCTTTAAAGAAAATGACCTACCTCCATGTGGGAGAATGTTCTGGTCTGATGAAGCAGCATGTAAACTCCTGGGTTGTGTTTGGACCAAACACATCATGAGGATCCTTAGAAAATTACAATCTCATAAACACCACAAACCTTCGGATGTCTGATCAATGGCTTCCTCTCAATCTCATATATTTGGAGAATGTTTGGCAATTCAAGATGTCTTTACTCCTACTGATGATGTCTGAAGACAGGTTTTAGATCAAATGGTATTTAGTTGGAGAGTGTGCAAACGGTTGTAACCAGGTTATTGAAGCTTTCCTTTCTTCTTTTTTCTAAATTCAGTTCCCGTCTTAATCAGAGGGAAAAATGCTCATGGTCTCATATTTTAATGTCACAAAAAACCTGTCATTGTTACTCCGCTGTGTCAACTCTGCAGCCTGAAGTGTCCCAATTCCGATTTATTTATTTAGCTGTAATGCAACCTGTATCTGATCTTTTCATGATAATGCAAGTCGGCTTTTGTTCGAATACAACCCCGGCCGATACGTATCCGATTCAAATGTGACCTGACATTCAATTCATCCGACTTGAATGTCACTGATATGTGGGAAGAAAAACAACCACCCCGGAGGACTATAATGAGGATTAAGTTGTTAATATGCTTCAAACTTCAAATGTGTAAACTAGGCTCCATCACTAGCATCCATGTTTACTTCCGCAAACGCTGAGCACTTCCTCTTCTTTCTACAGCGATTGTCAAAACACTGAGCACGCTGTCGCTATTGCGCCCTCTACTGCGCATGCCAGGCACTTTCAGGTCGTTTGCTGTTCACACTGGAGATCCCATACTGATCACACATATTTGGAAGAGTGAACGGTCATGGCAAAAAAATAAATAAAAAATAATTATCTGAATAAGCAAAAAAATCAGAATTGGGTCACTTGAAGCTGCAGTGTGAACACAGACTCGGTTGTGTCAATGTCCGGGAGCCACTGTCTTGTCTGTCCTTAACTAAGGGACTGCACCTGAGGACTGCACCAAACATACCCATGCTCCGGTCATAACCATGACAAAAACTAAACCCTGTTGTTGTCTGCTGCCTAATAAAGGGAATATTGCTGTGTTTTATCAGTTTGCTCATCATTTGCCACATCTGGCGCCGAATGTTGACATTGAGGTTGTGTGGACGCTGGGAGGACAGGGACTCGAAGCAGCCAGCTGGACAGATAATGTGCAATACTTTAACTTTAGCCTAGCAGAAGATGTTATCACACAAACTGTTTGGCCCCAGATATGCAAGTGGTTCTATATTCTAGAGGAGTCGTACGTATGTTCAGTCCTGGAGAGGCTGCTGTTCTTCTTAGCTTTTCTAAATGTGGCTGAAAAGCAGAAGCAGTTCCTTTACCTCAAACAGAATCAGTATTTAAAGAATCAAACCATGATATAGATAAGTCGGAAGAGTCAAAGTAACGGTGATTATAGCTGCAGGTTCTGCATTAATATTCAGCTGCATGTTCACTTCATATAGTCGTCTCAGAGCCGAGTCGGTACGTGTGTCTGGGGAAGCAGTGTAAAATAATTTAACCATGCTATCATGTCCTTTCAATAGCCAACTAACAATAACTAAAGCATTACACCAGTATGACTTGGTTTACTTTCCTATAACTTACTGCTTTGTCTATGAAGAGGGGTTAGTAAACTATTTATCTGTTCTTTTTATGTCTATCGTCAGTGACGTTTAGGATTCAGTTGCTTCTTTAGTTAATCCTGTGATCCAGGTCTCAGCTGAAGCCTCTTTCTTCCAAAGCTCAAAGCAAAATTTCTTGTGATTACGAGAGACGAGGAAACTCACATTAACAGGGACATTTCTCACCTTATTTTATTTCACAGTACAACCGCCACGTGATTATTGTTATTAGATTATGCTTCTGTTTTTGCATTGGGAGAGAATTCTTTGTTACATAATATTTAAATCAAAATCATAGGTTTACAGATTAGGGGAATTTTTCTTGGGTGGACTTTTATTTGAATTGTGATGGAATGTTTTATTGTAAAAAAAATAAAATAAAGAAAGAAAAATAATGAGCTCCATCATTTGGTGTCTTTTATTCTCCTATAGTAGTTAAATTATTTAAAAACAAGCTGTTGTTTTGGTGGCTTTACAAAACAAATATTACTAGTGATGCACCACTCAGGTATTTGTTTGTTTCCAGTCTGGACCTGCTAATACAATTTAAAATCATTTGGAAAGTTTTAATTTTTCTCTACAAATATAAAAAGTTTCATTTTTTTTACATTTATCTGTCGAGACGACATAATATAGGGTCACTAATAAGTTAGCAGCACTATTGGCATTTAAAGCGATATTTCTAATTTTTTAAATCCATCTACAATTAAAATATTAAAGTCATTATCCCTCTGAGCAACAAAACTATTTAGATTTAATTTATTCAGAATCATTTCTGACAGAAAATCAGTTATTGCACTTTTTTTTTATTGCACTCAAGAAACAACAGTCTTTCTATGATCCAATAAAAATATGCTAAGCTGTTAATTTGACTCTTAAGTTACGTTCTTCTTCAGACATCAAGCAGAATGAACAGAAACATTCTTTGGAGACCTGAGCTCAGCTGTTTGGTTTGTAATTATTACCAAATGTGGCTCAGAGGCTGATCGCAGAGACTCCTGACAGCTGAGTGAAAATAGACGTCAGCGTCTGAGGCAGAGTCATCTGCTGGCAAAACGAGGCTGGAGGTCATGAGGACGGTACAACTTCTGCCTCAGGCAAGATGTAAAAAAAAAATAAAAAAATCAATCAAATGCTGGATTAGGAAGTTAAACCCAAGAGTGCAACGGGAAAAAAATCTGGATTTTAAATAGAAATTAAAGAAATGACTGTATAATGCGTTGACCTAAAGCTTTCAGAGCCCATCAATTCATTACAAATAAGCGGTTAAAATAAAATACACCAACAAGATTACAGCTCTGTTTTTAAAAATATCAAATTACCACAGAACAAGTCTTTGTAGGACAGTCATTATTGTAAAACTATGCAAGTTATTTTAACATTTATAAACATTACAAAGTAGACAATGATCATTTTACAACCACCTGGGAAAAAAAATGTTTCCCTTTAAAGAAACTTTGAGAATTTACAAATCTAACAATCAAAAATACTTCCACTGTAAAATAAAAATCAATACTGTGAATAATTGTTCTTTTTTTTTTTTGTATGACAGACTTGGTTTACTCTGACTGATTCATCAGAAAACAGACTCATCTTGTAAATGTACATGGGTTTATACTCTAGTTTCTCTGGATTGTCTTTAATAAACAATGTCATTAAATTCAAATATTTTTTACTAAAACACATTTAAGAAACATTACATTGATTGTTGTATCTAAACAGGAAGTATGCTACTTTTCTGCACTAAAATACAAAGATTGCAATACTCATTCATAGTAATAAGACTTCTAAAAATACTGCCGTACTCGGTTATTCTCTTTAATTACTTTAAGTACCAGAACTGACTGGCTTGAAGTAGTGAGGCAAAAATCATCAAAACATTAATTATCACAACATTGTGCATTTTAATATCAACTAACTCATCTGATACCATCAGATAACTATTGTTAAAATCAGAGGGTGTACATTCAGAACATATGTGTTTAAAAGGCGTCCCAAACACGACACAGCAGTGATCATTTCTTTTTGTCTCAGGTCTCATTTCCCCCTTCTGTCAGGTGCAGTAGTGTATTAAGTGCTAGATACGTTTAGGCAGAAGCTGCAGTGGAAACAGTGATTTTAGCACCAGTTAGCATTAGACTACACTAGCCTGTGGTAACGTTGGTGACCCAGCTTGTTGGCTTAAATTAATTAGCTTAGCTGCAGTTGGAACAAAAACGAGAATATAAATAAATAAGTTATGAAAACTTACTGTGAACTGAAACCTGTTGAGAAGATTGTGACAGTGTTGTTTGGCATCTATATATATATATATATATATATATATATATATATATATATATATATATATATATAGATAACACTGATAACAGCAGTGTTATCTATATATATATATATATATATATATATAGATAACACTGATAACAGCAGTGTATATATATATATATATATATATATATATATATATATATATATATATATATTGATAACAGCAGTGTTGTTGGCATATATATATATATATATATATATATATATATATATAATAGACACTGCTGTTGGCATCTATATAACAACTTTCTGTTGTTATATATAAACAACAGAAAGTTGTTTAGATTAGCTTATTAGCAACAGCCAGCAAGCTAACGTGAAGTTTTAATGGAAATATTAAATACTTTATAGAAGTGGGATTCTGATAAGGCCTCCACTTAAAAATAATCTGAAAAAAGGATGTCACCAAATAAATGCCCCTCCGAAAAAACAAAAACCATGACAACCCAGATTAATTATTGCTAATAAATAGATTCAAAATGTTTCTCATTGCAAAAACAAGGTTTTAAAATCACAATTTTCAGTGTCACTTTCTTATTACAGTTGATAAATATCTAACAATATTGCTGCTTCATCTGCCTTTTCTGTAATTGCTTTTGCAAAAAAAAAAAACTAAAGACAATTTCTGTATGTCTAAATACAGTAATCAAACACTGCACTATACAAAACAACCAAAAAAGAAAAAAAAAAAAAAACTTGTGTATTTGTGTAGTTGTACAACATTACCATAGTGATTCCTACATAGGTGCACAGAAATTGTCACAAGGAAAACCACGCCACTTTCACTCGGTTTTTTTTGTTGTTTTTTTTCTTTGTTTGGCTTCAGATGAACTGTACGTGTGGGAAACAGGGAACCTATTAGACGAGTCTATAGAAAGGGGAAATGCAACCGTCAGGTCTTACATCTGTCCAAAAAGGATGGAGCAGAGAAGGAAGACCGCATAGAGAAACAACAGACCCAGACCCAGCCGGCGGTCCAGCCTCCAGTGGTTTAGATGTACACTCATCACCTGAGGGGAAACAGGAAAACGGTTACTTTTTCCTTTTTTATGTTTACTGCCAACTCTGTTGCATTATATTCAAATATATCTTAATGACAGACACTTGTATGACACTTTGAGGAGGAAACACACAGAAATCAGGATCAGAAAATAGCTTTCATAAATCTACATTTTCCAACGTACTAACACACAAAAGCCCGACACAAAGCTCTGTAGGCGGCCAACACCCATTTTGTTCAGTCAAAACAATTGTTGGTAAAGAATTTAAAGTCGGATCTTTAAGTAAGATGAAGTTTTGTCATAAAATGTTTGTTTTTTTTAAATAACGAAGAGGCTCAAGCTCCAAACTCACTTCTCAGGCTTCCTGTTTGAAACTAAATGTTTTTTGACTACGGTAAACATTTACTGTTTTAGGTTTCTTAAGGCTTAAACCAAGACTTGGAATAAAATAGAAATATTGTCACAAATGGGATGTTCAAGTGGAACAGCAGCAATGTGACAGGACATTGACGCATACAAATAAAATGACATTATAAAAATACATAAAAACCTAAATTAATATACTGTATAGTAAGAATAAAATTACAACATAAAATACAATGTAGTTATAAATACTCCAGTCAGCGTATTCATTCATTTTCAGTGTCCTGCACAAGTATTCACTCCTTGACGTTTTCTCTTTTTGTCACATTCCAAACACCTGCCAAGTCTGTGCGCACGCAGCTGTGGAGTTCATGTGCTGTGGCAACCCAAAAGATAAACAACACAACTGGTGTGTTTTTGTGTAGTGGGAGGAAAATAATGAATGGTTTTTATTTTCTTAAGTCTTTGTGTTGCTGAAAACAACACAGAGACCTAAAACATCTCAAGGTTTGTATTCACTTACAGTCAGAAACACTGATGCCAGCAGCAGGATGACCGAATATACAAGACCTTTATTATTTATGGACACCTGAGGGAAAGATTAAAAACATGCCCTTCTGTCAGAACAGGAACATTCTGAATACAGAAAAAGGAGAAGATAAACGTGTTCATACTACAGATCCGTGGTCCACCAAAAGGGTACGCAAAGCCCAGGGGAAGCCCAACCCCAGCAGGATGTCAAAGATATTGCTGCCTATCGAGTTGGACACCGCCATGTCCCCCATGCCTGGGAAGAAAGAGGAAGAAAATACAATGAAATAGGAGGAAAAACTTGCAAAAATTCAAGTGACCTTTCTGCCATCTACCTTGTCGAGCTACAATCAGGCTGGCCATGCAGTCGGGTACACTGGTTCCTGCTGCCAGGAAGGTGATACCCATGATGTAGTCAGGGATGTCCAGCGTAAAGCTGATAATGGTGACCTGATTAAAAGTAAATGGAGCAGGATCAAACAATCGTTTGGAAACTGTTGCTTTATTTACTCTACTCTATGAGGTTCTGTCTTCTCACCATCCACACCATGAGGTAGGAGAAGACAGCGATCCACAGGGTGGAAGCCACGAATGTGACCATGAACCAGCGGTGCCAGCGTGGCAGAATACAGTTAGGCACAGTACAGTAGAGGAGGAGGCCCAGAGGCCAGGTGATCACCCACTTCACCCGCGCACGGCAGCTGCCTGCCACACGGAAAACACAGATACCGACTATTAAAAGCCTCCGGTTGTTGCTGACTGAACGTTTAATGTTACATTTCTTATCTACTGCAGCGACACTGTGTTCACCATTTGCTGTCAAAAAGGCCACTAATATAACACAAAAAGTAAGTTAACAAAAAAACTTCTTCAATGCAAAACACCTGAAGACACATCTAAAAAATGAGCAGCTGTAATTGTGGACACTTTTCAGATTTATTTTTTTTCTAACAAACTGTAAAATGTATATTTTTCTCCTTCCACTTCACAAAGGTTGTGCTTCTGTCAGACAAAATCCAAACTACCGTCTATTACCACCATAGTTTGTGGTTGTAAGGAGACAAAAAGTTATCAAAAATATATAGTTAGTATTGATCCTGTCACATAAATTATCCCTGAAGTTATTCTGATAAACTATAATGTTATTTTGAGACCATTTTTAAGTAATATCATGGTAATGGGATAAAAATGCTAGAATACATTTAATTATAATGAACTTTTAACTGGAAAATATTTGAAATAAATAAAATAAGTAAACAAAAATAAAATATGAAGTCTCTGTAAACAAAATTGTCCTTCAGAAAAAGGGCCAGTTGCACCAGAATGAAAACTTTTGTCATCCAAGAGAGAAAAGAGAAAAACATTAAATTATTCATGCTGGTTTTAATTTATCATTTGATTGATTTATTGATTATGACAGGCCTGGGTAGCATGAATCTCTTTGCAAGACTCTGCAAACCATTATTCAATTAGAAGCTTTCCAAAAACACAAAGGCCTGTGTTCGATACCTGGCATGCGAACAGGATTAAAAATGCCATCCTCATCATCATCTTCCTCCTCTGGCCGGCACTCCTCGGCCCCTGGCTTCTCTCCCGACTCTGCGTCTTTTATCCCGGGTCTCCCTCCTCCGTTCTCCAGGCTGCAGGAGCCCGACCTCTTCAGATCGTTGCTGGGCGACCCCTTCCTGGACCCCGTGGCGGCCTCGCTGTCTCGCTTGTGTTTGGAGCTCCTGGTCAGCCTCTGTCTCTGGGGTGAAGAGAGACGAACCTCGCTCTGTCTGACAGTCGCCACACACACCAGAATCTGACAAATGAAACGATACCTCGCTGATGAGCATGCGTCCGGCCATGGAGAGCCTGGTGCGGGGGGAGAAGTGCGGCGTGATCATGATGCGCAGACCGGCCTCGGAGAAGGACAGCTTGTGCGGGTTGAGGATGAGCAGCTCGTCCACCATGATGACGGGTTGAGACTCTTCGCCTGCGACAGTTTTTACCGATCATACAGGCAGGCAGACACACACAGACGAATCCAACGAGCGGAGAGACTGTCTGTCTGACCTTTATTGAGAAGAACCATGGAGGTGTTGCAAGCCGAGGCCTCTTCTCCCATCTTGCTCTCGGGGCAGCTCTCTGACGCTCTGCAGCACGGCCTGCTGCTCCGTACCCGCCGCATCACAAACACGGAGATCTGGGAGTTGAACCTGCAGCCAGACGGGTGACAGGCGACGTTTAGGATCGACGCTTCACATGTGACGACGGGGACAGACGTCTCGTTGTGAACTCACTTCATGATGACGATGTAGATCCCGTACATGGTCATGAGGGACAGGGACTCCCACCTGCGCCGAGAGCAACGTCGTTATTATTATTACTATTAATAAACTTCACACTTCAGTCAGATTCACAGTGCATCAAGTACAATTTCATTGCAAGGACATATTCTCATCTACAATAAATCTATTTGAACAAGGTAACCTTATTTACACTATTTACTAAAACTGGCATTTACTGAAAAACAACAAGACTATCTCAGCGGTAATTCAGCCGCAACATTTTAAAATTTGGATTAAAAACTTTCTTTGTACATAAATATATTCAATCTAGACCTCAAGTGTCATAGTGACAGTTACTTGACCTGGTTCAGCTTCTGTAAAAATCTCCTATTAAAGCACCTTTTGTTATCCAATTATTAACTGGTTAATGAAAAAAATATAGTCAACAGATCAGACCTGTACTAAAGCCTAGTAGATGCACCTTCTGCTGCTAATGCACACTAAAGGGATGATATGGTATTGCATTTCAGGCAATACAGTACCCAAAAATTGACCAGAAAATTATTTAATTATTTGACTTGTTTACATATTTTAATGTTGTATAAAATAAGCTTAAGTGGTTATTTTATACCACTTAAGAAATGTGCAATTCTTTTATGTAGTTACTCGATTGATCAACAAAATAATCAATTATTGGAGTGTCAAACTTTCTGGGTATTTCACCAAGAATGTAACATCAATGCGTGACTCCCTGATTGTTTGTAGAAAAGCAAACAGACTCAAACACCTGAGATGAACTATTCCTGTCCTCCTAAAGATGTCGTTCCAACATTTCTCAGCCTCAAGAAACAGCAGTGAGACACTGAAGCGCGTTACCAGAGAGCAGACTCAGGGGAAAAGGAAGGAATCAAGAAGTTTTCTGCCACACAGATGCGATTGTTTACATTACTGACCACAGTGAGATTCAAGGTCAAGTAACTGTCAGTGGGAAGGACTGCCCCCATCTTTCCCTCTAGTTCCCATCCTATGGGAGCTGGCTAGATGGACGATGAGATAACATGAAAAGACGCTTCCACTGAAAAGGTCTTAATGGGTTGACTGATAAGCTGCTAAATGTTCATTTATTTTTGTAGTTCAACGTATAATCAGTTACTTATATTATGTGCTTTACAATTATATTCTGTACTTGCTCGTTTATTAAAGCAGTAGCTCTGGGTTGTTATTTAGGCCTTTAGTAGCATAAAAATACTTGATTTATGTTTCATACTTGATCAATAGGAAAGGAAAACAACTCATATCAGATAAATAATTGGATGGTTTAATCAATAGTGCAATATGACTCATTTAACTAACTGAGTTATAAAATACTGTAAAGTAAAACAGTCCATTTTGTTTGTAGAGCACATTAAAAAAACAATGTTGATCCAAAGTGCTGTACAGTAGGAACAGATAAACCAAAGATAATAACAGTCAAATAAAAACATTAATCAGAGGCACTAAATAATGGTAATCTAGGGAAGCTACAACAATATTATACTGAAAAGAAGCAGTACATTGTTATGAATTGTGTAATTTTCCAGCATGGAATTTCACAAAACCCATAAGTCTTATATCGCTGGTTTAAATAATAAACATTCATGTTTCTATCCTCTACCATAGAACATTTTGTCCAATACTTAAAAACAACTATTTACTACTCCCTTAGTTGTGAACCAGTAAGTTATAACCTGCATTACCATTGCACACAGGAAGATTTATCTCTCCAGTACAATAACACTGATGCTGGCAGAGTCAGCCCAGTATAAATCTGGCAGCCTGTGTGAAACGTGAAGTCAAGCACAGCAGCACAATCCGAGCCTTGAACTCAATAAATAAGACATAAATCTCGCAAGCATCCACTGCTACCTCAGGCCTTCACTCCCTAAATGAAGCCCGCAGATTTTACAACTAAATTAGCCTTTTTCTCAAATCTGACTGAAAAACCATCAGCCATACAGCAACACTGAACTCCGCGTCTAGTTATTTGAAATGTGATCAGCAGCGACTCCCATAAAGATGGAAACATGGAAAACAATCCTGAATGGATTCATGAGTATAAAATGTCGGACTCACCAGTAAACTCTGTCATCGTAGATAACCTGAAGAGAAAACAAGGCAGGAAGCTGTAGGTGAGACGAAAGGCTGCGTTCACGCTGCAGCCTGAAGTGACCCAATTCCGATTATTATTATTATTATGATTTTTGTTGTAATGCGTCCCAGGCCGCTTGATTATCCGATACATAACCGATTCAAATGTGACCTAACGGCCGCATTCATCCGACCTCAACGTCACTGTTACTGACACACAAGTATTATAAGAAAAACAGCAACCATGGCGGACGATAATGAGGATTAAGTTGTAAATCCTCATTAAAATAATTGGATTAAAAGTGCTGGTTCCGGTCGGACAACAATTTCAGAATCATAAGCTATGCTCCACCGTTAGCATCCATGTTCACTTCTGCCAGCACTTCCTCTTCTTCATAGCCGTTAGCAAAACACTGAGCACAATGACGCCATCGCGCCCTCTACTGCGCATGTGCGACGCTTTCAGGTCGTTCGCCGTTCACATTGGAGATCACATACAGGTCGCCGATATTTGGAAGTGTAAACAACCACGAAAAAAAAAATAAAAAAATAAATCTGATTTGACAAAAAGAATTGGAATTGGATCACTTCAGGCTGCAGTGTGAACGTAGCCTACGTAAAGCAGAAAAAGAGAGTGCATGCAGTTTGAGTGCAGGCCTCACCATTATGAGAGCCAGGACAGACAAGATGTAGTAACAGGAATCTCTAAAAAGAGACCACCATGTCAGAACCACCGTCTGTGGATGCAAGATTCAGAACCGGTCAGTGTGGAAGAGGAGCGCTTCATCAGCATAGAAACGTACTTTTTGTCTTCAGACCATCTGTCAAACCAGCATATTTTCATCATGATTGTGTCCTACTGACCCAGACTGAGATAATTTAGTGCAAGGATGTCAAACTTTTTTTCCTTTTGGGCCATGTCAAGATCATGAATGTGCCAGAATGTATTGATAAAAACCATTAGCAAACTGTTAAAATAAATACATGGCTGTCTCTGCGTTCAATAAGTACTTCTTTAAATAAAAAAAATATTTAATATCTTTTCACATTGATCAGTACCTTCCACATTTTGATAGTTTTTATTTTTTGCTATCAAAATCACAGATTTTACAGTGCTAATTAAGAAATACTTGTAATATTTGCAATATCTGACATTAACTTGGCATCAAGTTTTTTTAACTTTTGCTACAATCTAGTAAAAGAAAAAAAATACTGCCACCTGCAGATAGAAGGAAGCAGTAACTTAAACTCAATGCTTAAATATTTGGACCACATTTGTGAAAAATTATGAATTCGCATGGAAAAAAATCACAATCGCAGAATCATGAAAAGCTGACATAATTTGGTGTTGGGCCACATAAAAAGCTATAATGGGACAGATTTGGCCCCCGGGCCTTGAGTTTGACACCAGTGTTCTCGAGGCCCAGGAAAACATTGCTGGTGTTTGGAGATAATTAGCTGATTAGGGTGTGACACCAGTAATATTTTCAGAATATTCTAATTATCTTAGATTTTGGTTTTCATCATTGATAAGCCGTAAAATTACAGGAAACAAAAGCTTGAAATATTTAACTGTATATGTCACAAAACAATGAGATTCACTTTCTGAATAGTGAAAAAAAAAACTGAACTTTTTGACAACTGTGCTAACATTATGTGAGAAAGTGTATAGTAAGCAAGAGTTTTAATAACAAATCAATCAAGCATACAGTAACATTTTCAGTGTAACATAGGATTGGAACAGAGAAAAAGCTTTTCTACCTGGCCTGCAAAGATCCCACTCAACCCAATAATGACCAGGATGTTGAAGACAGCTGAACCCACAATTGTGCCGACTCCGACGTCTCCTTTAGTGATGAAAACACCTAAAGATGGGAAGGAGTAGGTTCACTGTCAAGTCATAAAAAAAATAACAAATCAGTCTCAATTGAAGGAATTCAAAAATGGCATTTTGACTATCCTGCAGCTTTAGTGTTTAATAGCAAGTGTTATTCTGTCTTAATCACTTTTAAACTTTCCTCTGCTGACATCTCCTGGACAGTTCTGGCTCATGCAAACACACTGGCTGCAATCTAAAGTTTTTCTGTTGAAAAGTCAAGATTCATGTGAAGAAACACTAATGTCACAGCTGTTCCTTGGTCTGGATTCACAAAGCTACGAACCAATGAGAGAGGTGAACAGCTCAGGGGCGGAGCTTCCAGCAGCCATAAACGTCGCCCCCGCCACATCCTCGCTGAGCTGCAGGTTCTGGAACATTAAAAATCGGAGCAGAGAATAAAATAGCAGTCATCTAAATGCCCTCTCCAACTGAGGAAATAACATCTGAAGGCAGGCAGCAGCTGGTTTTCTTCACCTCGGATATTTTCTCCAGAGAAGGGACGAAGTAGTCGTCACAGACGATAGCCAGAGCGTAGAACATGTAGATGGCCTGAAAAATAAATTTGAGCATCACTAAATACACACACTCACACATTGACTCTCCTTTAAGAGCAACAGCTTGTTTTGATGTTAAGAAAATTAGAGAAAGTGTTGATGCCCCTTGAGCATTTAAGACATTGTGTCATGTTGCAACTAAACCAGACTTGTACTAAACCAGACTTGTTTGTGTAATCACAAACTTTGGTGTATTTTATCGGCATTTTATGTGAAAGACGGACAAGCAACCCGCATCATAAACATTAAAGGAGAATATAACTTGAATATTTCACAAAATATGATTGAATTTACCATTCAATGATGTTAATTTCCAATGCAAGCCAAACAAGATAAACTTTCACTTTATAATTTTATTCCACTTTTGTGTAATTTTTTCTGCATAGTTATATAAATTGGTATTTATAGTTGAAAGACAACTATAGACAAAACCTAAAATGTTCAAGGGTTTGAATACTTCTGTATGCATGAAAAGCAGAAGGGAGTTGTTTCTTTCATGAGAAACTCACGCAGAGTGCATGCAGGAGCACAGCCCCATTCTTCCTCTGCTCCTTGGTAAAGATGTCCTCTGGAAACTCATGGATGGCTGAGGGAGGATTAACATCATAAACACCTGATACTTAAAAACAAACAGCGAAACACTAAGAACATGTTGTAGTCTTTTGACAAAAAACAAAAACTAATGAATCATGTTTCTATTCTGATTGTGTCCCACAGCAGTTGTGGTGTAAACCACAACATCTACATTTACCAGAATGATACAGGAAATGATGAGGGAGTGAAACTGGCAGGTGCTTCCTGTAAAAAACTAAAACATAAAACTAAATGATGGCTTGGCTGTTCCCTTGACGGCCTCGAGAGTGTGGTGCAGCTCCAGTTCACATCTCCGAGCGGCGCTGGATGAATTTAAACTACAGCGCAGCGTGAGGCTATTAATAGCTCCTTTGGTGTGTGAGACAACAATGAGCCGACATGCTCACAATAAGCGCACTGTAGCTGTGGAGATGCACGAAGGCTACATGGATTAGGACCGGGTCCGTTGTGATCCGGGACATTAGATCTGCTCTTTGACACTGCAGCGAGGCAGAATGAGAGCAGGGAGGCCATATGGTCCGGAGAAGAGGACTTTAATTTGGACATGCTCAGAGGGAAAACATACATGCTTCTTGTGGATTCTTTCTAAGCCTTAAGGCAGAGGTTTTCTGTAGGTTTCACAAACTCAAATTTAAGACTTCTTAAAACGGTTATGAAGGAAATTTAAAAGCTACGTCTCAACAGAAATGTAGGAGTTTCGTCCAGCGAACCGGCCACAAAATCACACCAAGATAGATGCAAACTAAGCTAGTTAGCTTGAGAAATCAAGCAAAAGGGTAGGACTTTTCTCAGGACAGAAAAAACCCATGAAATATACACTTAAACAGTCCTGTCAAGAGAAAATGTAAGACCTATGATCAACATATTTATGTTTCTAATAAATTTAAGCTGTTTTAAGGATCTGTGGACATCCTGCAAGGATTAAAATAAGTTCCTGAAATATAGCTATGTCTCTCCTTCCTGCTCCTTTAAGATCGAGAGAAAATCTATTTTTACTTTGACCCATCTGTTGTTGTATGATAGGGTTTGTCCAATGATCAGTATTGAACATTTCTGGGCATCTTATTCCACAAACAACAGCGCCTCAACGACAAGATGCACTTTGAGGGTCTTCTGTTGAGCTGATCAGCTGTTAAACATCTGCTCTCCCGCTGTAGCTTTGTTTCTGTCACCTTCCTCGTCTTGTCCCCTCTCTGCCCCGACACTCAGGTTCTGCTGCGGGCAAAATCTCAGGACTGCCACAGCTAGCGTTGGATGGACGCTTTGAGGGGTTGCTGTGGTGAAGGTAGTTGCTATGGTGGCCCTCTCCCAGGGGGAAGCGTTTTTTGTGATGGGTGTCAGTACAAAGCCAAAGGCTAGGCCACTGCATCAATAATGAGAAAGGGGGAGGTGAATATATTTTTCCCATGGTAAGGATTCATGAAAAATTTAAAAACTAGATGAAGTGACAGCAACTCTGGACTGAAACGTCTAAAAATATTTATTTTTCCTCACAAACCCTCAGGAGACGTCTGAGAGGGAGCGAGCGAGGCAGAGGGAGCACAAAGACAGAAGACTGTGGAGCAAAAAGTGAGCTCCGCTAAAACTCCTCTAAAGCAGAGGAGACCTCAGGGTTGAAGCTGACAGCACATCTGCATCTCTTCAAACTAGATCAGCTCCACAGTAGCTATTTACTCCAAACAAGGCAACATATTTTTCTCTGCTTCCAAACTTTTACTGCAGGCTTCAACAACTTTTCAGCTCTGATCATGTTTTGTTTGTCAGTTTCTACAGCGACTCACATGTCACCTTTCCTGTTCCCACAAAAGCCGAAGCAGAAAAGACTGTGGGACAACTTGTACTAGGCCAGACTTGTTCAAAGCAATCTGTAATATGTCGTAGTTTGTCTTCTTGTGACTGGACTCGCCTGAAGCCAGAACAATACGCAGCTTCAAAAAGAGCTCTGAAGCAGGACACTAACAGTTAGATTAAGTCATGCAAATTATAAAAAAGTTCAAATCAAAGTAACCATAACGCAAAAAGAGCAATAAAATATAATGTATAGACAAATAATGATCATTTTAAGTTGTTTCTAGTGACACAAGGAGGATTGGCTGGTGGCCAGAACCAGATGATCCTCACCAGCTGGACGGCAGCTTAAAAATCCCATCCTTGTCTGGTAAGTGAACACATCATATCAAAATGTATAGCTGTTGAATAGCAAGAGTCAAATAATGAATTAAGTATCCCAGATCAAATTCAGATTCCTTAGAGGACAGTTTGCGTGCTTTTCTGTCCTTATTAAAATTTGAATAATTAGAAGTTTTGAATCATTGTTTGGTATTCAAGACCCAGTTGAAGTGCCAAAGAATTTAAAGTTGTCTGGAGGTTGTAAAATGAACCTATTATTTTTTGTTTGAGTATCTATTAAGATAGTTTATATAAAGTATTAACATGGTATTTATCAAAACAAAAATAAAGCTTGTGAATGAGTTATAAATAAGTGTAAAATCACTCCATTTATTAATCAGTTTAGACTTTTACCCTTTAGAGTGAAAGCAGAAAAATTGTCTGGAATATCAAACATTAACCATATTTGATTTTCTTTTTTTAATGACTTATCCAGACCAGGAAATGATAAAAGCTAATTCCATACTTTCCCAGGCTGCATAGGGGCAACACTCTTCAGTGTAGAAGCTGAGTGAAGAGTCAGCTTCTACACTGAAGAAAATTTCCTCAGTGAAATTTTCAGTATTTCACTGAGGAGTTTAAAATCAATTAACCCTCACGTCTCCTCTGCTGCTAAACTAAGGAGTGCTCGTAGAGGGATGTATGGAAAAATATATTTTAAACGAATTTCTTCTCTATTTGTTCATTAAGAACACGATAAAAAGCTTTACAAAAAGTGCAGATCAGAAATCAGCTCAAACTCAAGGCTCAAGGTGCATTTCAAACCTAGATATTAACTATCAAATACCACACTTGCTGTGAAATATTGAGTAGAACATTGTATTAATGTCTCATTAATACAACAGAGAACACACTGTTGCATTGATGGACCTAAACTAAGTGAAAATTATGAAGGACGTTCTGATATGTACGATTACTACTACTCCTCTGGCGTTGCATAATTAACCTGGTGTTAAAACAATCATTCTTCACCTCAAAATAACAGCAAACAATCTCAAAGAAATCAGACCATGTTAAAGTGAACCATGTCTGTGTGTCTGAAGTGGCAACTTGGCAATTGAGTTTTTATTTTTGGTTTATTATTGGCACGACTTGTGGAAAATAGCTCCACTTTCTTTTCCCAGTCAGAACACTGTACTTATTTTTTTAACAAAAATATTGAAAAATCCTAACTAGCAGCTGAGATTAGATCTCTCACAGAAGATAAGCATGATGAATTATCGATCTTATCAGTGCTGGCTTCACTCAGATGGATTTAAATTCGTGTTACAATGGCTCGTTTTTTTTCTTCAGGATTGGAAAGAGCTTGTTTTCATACTGACACTTTGAACCAATCATGCAAAAGGGCAAAATAAACATGCTTCAATTTAAATGTGAGAACGACTCTCACCCTGTCTGTGAGTGTGAACTGTCCCTACATTTGCTGCAGGGTGGAAGAGTCTAGCTGACTGTTACAAATATGTGTTCTTGAAGTGATCGGTAACATCACCTCACGTCAAATTATTGACGGCTTTTCTGGTCTTAATTACAGCTAAAAACACTAATCTTTATCAGGGAAGGAATAGAAACAAAGATTTCTGATGTTAAATATTTGCATCAAAACCATTGAAAACAAGAAATTAGTTTGATGCTAACATATTTTCTCCAAAATATCTACATTTTTAGATACAGATTTTGTTTTTTGCAATGTTTTCATTTACTTCCTGCCTCTAAGTTTTGATTTGACTTGTTGATAGTTCTGCTCATGACATAAATCAAATCTTTTCTTTTGCTTCATAATCTTTGAGCTTTGCTTTATTGTTTTAGGTTGTTATGCTTTATTTTGGATATTTAAACTATCTTCCAGTTCCAGCATTAAATCGGAGTGCATGATCAAATCTTTTATCATCTGATATAATACAGATGCCTCTGTTTGGTGTTTGTATTGAAGGTTTAGTTTTGGCCAGAAGCGGTCCCATACAGAAAAACAAATTACAAATTTACACTTAAATACACAAATATCTACACAACACAACTTAGTGAGTGCAATTGGGAACAATATAAACTATGTAAAATGAATAATAAAGAAAAAGAAACTGAGTAAAGCAAAAGGTTGACTATCCTAGCGAAATGTATAAAAAATAAACTTTCTTTCAAATAGTTGAGAAATGCAGTTAGGATTTATAAATATAATGTAAAAAAAATAATAATAATAAAGTTGGATGTTGCTTGGAGCACAACACATAGAATCAGACTGAATATATCTGCCCTTATGGATTGGAAACATTGTCATCAATTCCCATTAGAGAATCTGTTTTAATATTGGGACCGATAGATATTACTGATGATAATTTCTGGGACAATATTTCTTATCCTAGGATTCCCCCAGAAAACTTACTTAGCCCGGTGGTTGGATGCCAGGGGTGTCACGAGTTTTAACAAGAGACCTGAAAATATAACCTGATAATTATGTGCTAATGGGAGACCAGAAGAACACTCTCTGAACACAAACTATAAAGTCTTTAAAAAATGCAAATGTTAAAAAAAAAAATTAATAAATAAACAATGCTAAGCCTGGTGGGGGCACAAATCAGGCCTGATGGCCCGCCAGGCTTATTATACATTGCTTATCTTGCAGTAAAATTTGTTACTGTGACAGACCTAACTATGCTAACTTTCTTAACATCCTGATATTTTGGTTGTTACTAAAGGAAATTCAGCATCATTTAACAATTGATCGATAACTTTGAGGAATCATTTTTTCCCCTCAGTCCAGATGAAAAATATGTTAGAGCTTCAAAAGCTGTATGACTCTACAGAAAAAAGGTTCAATCTGATTTTACT